TCATGAATCTTTACTTCTCTATAGGGTAGGTATTACTGTTATTCTTTTTTTAAAGAATAAAAGAATTAAAAAATATATATAATATGTATATTATATATATATTTATTTTATTTATGTATTTAATTTTATATTTATTTTTTATTTTATTTATGTATTTATTTTATTTTATATTTATTTTTTTTGAGAGAGGGTTCGCTGGGAGGTGCACAGAGAAAGGGAGAGAGAGAACCCCAAGCAGGCTCCACAACGTCAGCACAGAGCCCAATGTGGGGCTCAAACTCACGAACCGTGAAATCATGACGTGAGCAGAAACCAAGAGTCGGATGCTTAACTGACTAAGCCACCCAAGCACCAAGTATTACCATCATTCTTTGTTTACAGTTGGAGAAACAAAGGCTCAGAGAGGCAAGTAATCAGCTTTGGAAAGAGCAAAGTGTCATTGCACCAAGACTGGAAAGAGATTGGGCCAGATTGTAGAGGATCCCAAATGTCCTCTGAGCAGTGATGGGTTATAATCAGTGTTCAAGAGAGATTTTCCTCATAGTTCTATGAGAGTCAAAGTAAGTTGTGACCAACAAAGAAATTATTATATTAGTCTGAGCATAAGACAAGAGTGCAAACAGAAAGAGGGGAATAGATGAGAATCGAGTCAGGTAAACGTGAGACTTTTGTGAACTATCGAAGGTGATGTGGAATTAAGATGAGTCATTTTTGGAGCACTTTTATGTTACAATAAAAGGTGTCTAATAAGACTTGTGCTTAGTTTTACACTTTCAAAAATCATTAATTACCATAAATGTTAACATTGAACATCTGCAGAGTTAAGTGCCTTATTTGTTGGTAAACTTCCATAGATATAGCCTGCTTCCTTTAGTATTCTTCATGCCTGAGAGTGAATTCTAACTTCTTACCAAAATTTTCATGTAGCAACTTTGACAGTTGGCCATCTCTTAACCATTCTTATCCTTATTGTCTGACTTTTTTCTGCCTCACCTTGATAAGACACTTATATTTGCAAATGTATCCAAGTTGTGTAACGTAACCAATGCTTGGCACTTGGGGTCTGAATATTTAGCCAGAAATAGATCAGTTACCTTATTAAGGCAGATGACTGCAGATACAGCATTTTGATCGGGTGATAAGGGATTATGTCCAGACCTAAATAGAGCAAGATCTAATGCTTTCTATAATCAGGTGGCAACTGATAATAGCCATGCTTGACCTATGGATGGATGATGGCGAGAACTGTGAAACCTTCAATTTTGAGGATCTTTGGGAATTGTAGTAGGAAGACTAAGGGTGGAGTCTTGGTTCAGTAATTTATGTGTTGTGTGACTTAGGGCATGACTCTTTTTTTTTTTTTTTTTAATGTTTATTTATTTGAGAGAGAGTGAGCAAGTGGCAAAAGGGCACAGGGAAAGTGACAGAGAGAATCTCAAGCAGGCTCTGCGCTGCGGGGTCAATCTCACAAACAGTGAGATCACGAACTGAGCCAAAACCAAAAGTCAGATGCTTAACCAACTGAATCACTCAGGCACCCCAAGTCTGAATTTGTTATTCCAACTAATTGGCTGTTAAGTTGAACCAAAATGGATTATGTACATAATAGCAACAAAAAACATAAAAATCAGTAAGAATTTCAGCAAGCTAAAAATTTTTTTTGGATGTTGTTAGATGAGATTAAATACTGTAAATGCCAGTTCTAATCACATTAACTTACAGTGTGAGTATACGTTTAGTAAAAATAGTAAGAGAATACTTTTGAGATATGTAGAAATAAGAAGAACAAAGGAGGGTACATAAAACAGGATTCTAAGAAAGGAGAGTAGGGGATTGGCAAGAAATAACTCTAAAAATATTAAAACAAAATATTATAATAGTTAAATGAGTGAATGGCACAAATAATTTCAATAGTATATCCCAGAAATTAAATAATTGAAAAAAGGAATCACTACCAGTCATATTCAATTCATGAGTTTGGAATATAACAATTTAGAAAAAACCCAAGTAATGTCTCACCTCATTACTGGACACTGCTATAAAACACTAAATATTAAATCAGAAGAAAAAGCTTATTAAATTATTAAATGAAGTTGATTAAATTTTGAAGACATTGAAGAGTTCACAAAGATAAACATGAAAAGACTTGATTAAAGAAAAATCAAATGCTTTTTGTAAGTTAAACAAAATACTTTTAACCAAAAAAAAAAAAAAAAAAAAAACCCAAGGAAAATATTAAGAAAAAACTGTAGCCAAAATGATAAAGTATCAGTATTCCTTAATAGTTCAAGGCTAATACAAATGGAAAAAAAAAAACAAACTAAACAATGTGCTTCAGTTTATTATTTTGGCACATTGATCAGTTTGACAAATTCATTCATAAAAACTTTGATAGAAGTTTGGATTTCTATATTATTTTTTATCTGAAGATAAAGAGATATATCTGCAGGAAAAATGAAGTAATTAAGGCAAAGACTAAATGGATCAACTTTGGTCACTAGATGTTATTCTTTTTTAAAAAAATTTTTAATGTTTATTTATTTTTGAGAAAGACAGAGACAGAGCATGAGCAGGGCTGAAACAGAGAGAGGGAGACACAGAATCCGAAGCAGGCTCCAGGCTCTGAGCTGTCAGCACAGAGCCTGATGTGGGCTCAAACTCTTATGACCTGAGCCAAAGTCAAGACGCTTAACTGACTGAGCCACCCCAGGCACCCCACTAGGTGTTATTCTTATATTATAATTAAAAGTGAAACAATCTTTCTGGCCACTGCAGGAAGCACACATCTACATTGTATCAATCCTAGCCTATGGTATTTGCCTTTTAGCAAATTGATGAAAGGTAAATAAAAAGTTCATGGTAGAGTAAAAGGTTTCAAGAAGTACCAGGAAAGTGTATAGTTGCTAACCAATCTAATTATATATCAAGAATATGTTTTGGGGTGCCTGGGTGACTCAGTTGGTTAAGCGCCTGACTTCAGCTCAGGTCATGATCTCACAGTTTGTGAGTTCGAGCCCCACATCACACTCTGTGCTGACAGCTCAGAGCCTGGAGCCTGCTTCAGATTCTGTGTCTCCCTCTCCCTGTGTATGCTCTGTCTCTTAGAAGTAAAACAAAATTTTAAAATAAGTATGCTTTGCTCCTAATTTCAACTTGGCTAATTAAATACATTGCCAAACAGCCTAAAATTCTTCTTTTTCTTTCTGCCCTCATACATCCTGCAAAAAATAAACACCCAAAAATAAATACCCAAAATAAGCAAGCCCTGAATAAATGGTAGTGGCATCAAAAGATCAGTTAACTGGTAAATAATGGAATGAAAGTAAAATATAGTCCTTTAGAAAATATTTTTATTTTCTTGGCACACAGACATAAAAATGACATTTCTTACTAGATGTAGCAGTTGAAGACATATCAGAAATGGATTACAATTCACATAGGTTTTATTGTCCACAGATACGATGACAGGTCTAATGTTTCCTCAACTATCCTTGAAACATTAAATTATCACAGCATACTGGTTCTACTGGCAAACTTACTTCTCATGTTAAAGAGTAAGATTGATCTGGATTAGTGAGGAACCAAGGCATAGAACCATTGCCGAAACATAATATAATGGTACATCATCCAACATCATTCAGGAATGAAGCATTCTATTTAGATGTTCTTTAGTGAAATGACATTTATGCCTCTAAAGTCTAAAACCATTATTTTAACTACCTTTGATAAAATAATGTCTAACATGCCTTCTTAAACTTTAAAAAAGATCATGCAGGTTATCACAATGTTCTTTCCCTAATATTCCTTACTGGAATATCAACCACTTAATTTTCTAGTACAACATGATATCCTTAAAAATTACTGAGGTGGGGAATTGCCTTACAACCCAGTATGGTTATGTTTTAGAAGTTCTCAACTTGTTTATCTATCTATCTATCTATCTATCTATCCATCCATCCTATTTAATTGTCAACTGTTACTTCTTGCTTTTATTAAATACATTGGTTTTCAGTTATTTTTCTTACTATCTTTAATATAGAAGTTAAAGTAGAGCAACATAACTGCATCAACCTTTGATAACTAATGGTTTTCTCTCTCAAGGAATGTCATTCCTTTTAACTGCAAAGCTTAGAGAAAGTTATATATTGAGCAATGAAGAAGGAAGGGAAACTTGGAAATGAATGTATTTATAGACAGTGATCAGATTAATATCACAACTCTCCTTAAATTTCTAGGATTTAATCTGCTTTAGGTTGGGAAACCAAAAAAGCAAGCTAGTTAAAACTATTTCTTTTTATTTTAATTTTTAATGTTTATTTATTTTTGAGAGAGATAGAGAGACAGAGTGCGAGCAGGGGAGGGGCAGAGAGAGTGGGAGACAGAATCCCAAGCAGGCTCCAGGCTCTGAGCTGTCAGCATGGAGTCGGACATGGAGCTTGAACTCCACAAACCGCGAGATCATGACCTGAGCTGAAGTCGGATGTTCAACCAACTGAGCCACCCAGGCGCCCCTAGTTAAAACTATTTCTAAAGTACAGTCCATTTTGAAGAAGACTGTGCAGTATACATTAAGTTACATGAGCTTTTAAGCATGGGTATTTGATATCTTCTGTATTCATAGATTACAGAGTTTACATTCTTTTCTTATTTTTATTTCTTAATCATACTTAAGATGGTTGGGTATGTTATCTTTAACTGAGAAAAGTATTACTGTACCATTATTTTATTAGCTATAAATATACCACTGAATAATATTAAATAGTGATGAAAGGATTTTTGCAACTATTTTCTTTCAACTAAAAGTATAATGATCTGATTTAAGTGTTTTCTTGAGACAAAAATAGTAAACAATAAAAAAAAATCCATCTAGAGAATAAGTATTATTCAAAAATATTAACTCATATAAATGTTAAAAAACTTTTTTCCTTTTATGACTTTTTGGATTTAAGGTCATGAAAAACTTTTCAAATGATTCTATTGAATTCAAGAGAACTACTAAATTCATATCTACATTTTTATTATACCAAGATTTTTCTCAGTGCTAAACTTGTCAATGTAGGTTTTAGTTAATAGGAAACTAGTATCTGCTATGATCTATCAATACACTTTTGCACACAAACTAAAAATAATTGTTAAGTTTTAGAAAATTAATATAGCATGTTTTTCTTTAAAGTTCTCATAAATATGCCCAACAATGTGCATTTTGAGAATGTGAACCATCTCATAGTAGGAAACTCGTACTCAAGATTAATTTTACAAAACTATTTTTAGGAAATAAATTCTTAAATGCTTGTGTTTTTTCATATATCCTATGCATCATTAACATAAGCAAATTATGGCATTCATTATATTAAAAACATATTAGTATTCTAGTGAAAAAAAACCACACAGTGAACATCTGTGTTCTGAACATCCTTTCTGAACATAACAGTGTAGGTAGACAATTCCATGAGTCAATATTCAGTTAATATTTATCGAATGCAGTGTAGAAGGTGCTAGGAATAATATAGTAAAAGGTGAGAACATTAGTTAACCACAGCATAATCAATATGTATTATTACTGAAGAAAATATATACCACAATTTGAAGATACTTTTCCATTTCTTTCATTATTACATTCTAATACTTCATTTTCACTTATGTACAAGTGGAAGATTACATGACGTTTCTGTTTCAAACTCTGGATTTCAAACTCTTATTTCTAGGCAATTAAGGAATACTTCATGAATTCAAAAGAACATCCCATTGGTAATGATAGTTTTTCTTCCTGATTCAAATCAAAAGCTACCTCTCTGTACATTAAAAACAAAACAAAACAAAAGAAAGGAAAAAGACAAATCACTGTTTTAAAGTCTTACCTAATTGGGTATCATTATTATATAAATTAGCTTTTTAAAATAACTTCAGCCTGTGCATATAAACCCTTTATATTATATTTGATCTTGCATTCCATAATACAAGTAATTGCATACTTCATACATATCCATGAATCAGCTATAAGTCATAAAGCGTTTCGAGAATAGTAGCAATTGACCAGGCTTGAGTTTCACAGCTGAAAGGACAGTATTGGCCATTCTCATTGGTCAGTTCAGGAAGTCCTTTCCAAGGGGATCTTAAAGAAAGAAAAGACATTTTATGAGATACAATCTAACACATTTTGTCTGGATTAACAAAATAGGCAATAACTTGGTGGTTTTCCTTGCTAGTACAGAAAAACAATCATATATAGTCATTTGCTACAAAATAAAACATGATATTGTAAAGATCTATGTATAAAGAATTTAGATTAAAATTATTCTTTGATATTTAGTGTTTGGGATTTAAGACCTTCAAACACAAAGGATTCCTTTTATGTATTAAAAACAGGGGGTGCCTGGGTGGCTCAGTTGGTTGAATGCCTGACTTCGGCTCAGGTCATGATCTCATGGTTGGTGAGTTTGAGCCCCATATGGGGCTCATTGCTGTCAGTGCAGAGCCTGCTTCAGATCCTCTGTACCCCCCTCTCAGCCCCTTTCCCACTCTCTCTCTCTCTCTCTCTCTCAAAAATAAACATTAAAAAAAGAAAACATAAGAAACTATCATTCTAAGCATATACAGAGTGACAAATATCCTCTCAGGTCCAATTTTAGTACTTTCAAATTAAGTTTATGAAATTCAAATTGTAATTATGTAGATTTTGACAAAATTATAAAACTAATATAGAATAATGAAGAAACGCTGAGAGCTATGACTAGGAAAATAGTGCCAATTAAAAACAAATCTGGTGGCACCTGGGTGGCTCAGTCGGTTGAGCATCCAATTCTTGAGTTTGGCTCAGGTCACGATGCCAGAGTTGTGGGATCGAGCCCTGCATCTGGCTTGCACTGAGCAAGGAGCCTGCTTAAGACTGATTCTCTCTCTCCCTCTGCCCCTCTCCCCTGCTTGCATTCTCTCTCTCTCAAAAAAAAAACAAAAAAAACCAAAAAAAAACCAATATGAATTTCTATACTAATCTCTCATTCTACTGAATAATACAGTTAGTATTTATTATGTTCTAATACTAAGTGACTTATGTACATTATCTCATTTAATGCTCACAGCAACCCTGAAAGGCAAGAACCATAATCATCCGTATTCACAGAGCAGGTAAGAGGTTTAGAGAGGTTAAGTAATTATCAGGCCTTATTATCAGAACACAGTATTGTTTCCATATCAAGTTTCTTCTTCTTTTTTCTTTTTTTAACTTTATTTATTTATTTAAGTAATCTCTACACCCAACATGGGGCTTGAACTTACAACCTTGAGATCAAGAGCTGCATGGTCTTGGAACTGAGCCAGCCAGGTGCCCCTCAAATTTATTCTCTTTTAAAAAAATGTTTATTTATTTATTGATCGAGAGAGAGAGTGAGAGAAGCAGAGAGGAAAGAGAAAATCCCAAGCAGGCTGCAGCTGTCAGCTCAGAGCCCAACGACGGGGCTTGATCTCATGAACTGTGAGATCATGAACTGAGCAGAAATCAAGACTCAGATGCTCAACTAACTAAGCCACCCAGGTGTCCCTCAGTTTTATTCTTAATTTTAGTGTAATCTCTTAAACATGAAACATAAAGTTAAAAAATCCAGAATTCTGTATTGTTTCATTTTTAAAGTTGGGTTATGGGAATGTGTTTGTTTCACCATTATAACATTGTAACTCATGGCTGTGTGAAGAGTGTATGTTACATTATACTCTTCTGCAGGCATTAAATTTTTCATAAGTATGGAAACATAATTCCCTTAAGTAAATATGGAGACAGTTTGGATAATAACTAATAATAATAACACCAGATATGTACCATATTTAAAAAGCCATCACAGAGAAGTACAAAATATAGAAACTTGCTTCCAAGTGTTCAAGTTTCTTCCGAGTAAAATGCCAAATTACTGAAGTTAGGTACCAGGGTATCTGTAATAGGCTGAACTGTGTCCTCCTCAAATACCTCCTCCTCAGTACCTTAGAATGTAAACTTATTTGGACATGGGGTTCTTAAAGATGTAATTAGTTAAGATGAGGTCACACTGGAATAGGATGGGCCCCCAATCCAATTTGACTGGTGTCCTTAGAGAAATTTGGACCAAGCGATGCACACAGAGAGAAAGTCATGTGAAGATTGGAGTTATGCTACCACAAGCCAAGGAATTACCAGAAGCTGGGAAAGAGGGCTGGGAGAGATCCTTCCCTAGCATCTTCAGAGGGAGCATGGCCCTAGTAACACCTTGATTTCAAACTTCTGGCCTCTAGAACCGTGAGGCAATAAAGTTCCTTATTTAAGCTTTTCACTTTGTAGTGCTTTATTATGGCAGAGTCAGCAAACTAATATAGTATTGAAATTAAAACAAGCTAATAGAACCAATAATATACTGCTCACAATTGTTATGTGGAACCAGAACATGGAACATATACATACTGGTATAAAGAAGTCTTCTTTTCCTTCCTTTCTGAAAGAAATTCATTCCTCAAGTCATTAGGTGGGACAAAGGAGGTCAGTGACCACAACTGGGGAGGAGAGGACATAAGGGTAGCGGGAACAGCACAGGGTGGGACGCCAGAGCCTGAAGGGTATGGAGAAGTTCATACCAAGGGTGGGAATGGCCCAGAGCCCAGATGGTGCAAGGGCGGCATCCGCACATAGTGTGGTCTAGTGTGGGATTGTCAGGCCCAAGAAGGACAAAAGGTCACCTATGTCTTGGGGCAAGCAGGGTGAGCCGAGTCCCCATGGTAGTGGATAGCACAGGGTGGAGAGTAGGTTACTCATGGCCCCAAGATCAAGAGTCGCATGCTCTTCTGACTGAGCCGGCCGGGTGCCCCTGGATAGCATAAGGTTTTTTATGAAAGGAAGAAAGCAACAATTTCAAATATTATAGGAATGTCAAAGAAGGGAACTGAAAGGAAGTCATGGGATCTGGGAACCTGAAAGAATCTTGTTGAGTGGCTTCACCAGAGTGGTGAGGGCAAAACAAAAGCCAGACTGAAGGTGGAAAGGGGTCAGAAAGCAAAAGGATTGAGGCTGCTCCTATAGGAAGTGAGCTGAGAAGAAAACAATGATAGGACAGGGCTAGAGGCAGGAACAGTATGAAAGCACTTTATTTTAGGATGGGCTGATCTTTCTAGATTAAGAAGGAAGGATCAAGTGGAATACCAAGAAAGGATAATTACTGGAGCAAAGTCAGGACACAGGTGGGAGGGATGGGATCACAGGTAAAGTAGAAAAGTGATCCCTGCAGTGTAAGATACTCTTACTTTTCATGGACAAAAGGGGAAAAAAAGAGAAAATAGATGCAAACAATGAGAAATACTGTGGCAACAATGAGAAATACTGTGGCAATAACTGGGGCAACAAAGGATAGAATATAAGAATGTTCACATCACACAGATTCAGTCTCCGTTTCTAGATGAGGTACAAGAATTCTGGCAGGATTGGGTTTTCTGTGACTACATCCAAGCTAATAAAAACAAACTGAAAAAAAAGAAAGCTTGACACGACATTCATGCTGATGATGGAAGTCCCTCATGCTCTTGTAATAAAGGAGAGAACATTAATGTTGTTTATGCATAATAATTCTGAGCAATGAGCTGTATATATACAGCCATACCTTGCTTTACTGAGCTTTGCTTTACCGCACTTTGTAGACACTGTTTTTTACAAATTGAAGGTTTGTGGCAACCCAGCATCAAGCAAGTCTACCGGCACCATTTTTTCCAACAGCATTTGCTCACTTGGTATCTGTGTAACATTTCGGTATGTCACACAATATTTCAAACTTATTCATTATTCTTGTATTTGTTATGGTGATCTGTGGTCAGTGATTATGACTTGCTGAAAGCTCACATGATAATCAGCATATTTTAGCAATAAAATATTAAATTTTTTTAACGTTTATTTTTGAGAGTGAGAGAGAGTGGGGGAGGGGCAGAGAGGGAAAGACAGAATCTGAAGCAGGCTCCAGGCTTTGAGTTGTCAGCACAGAGCCTGACACGGGGCTCAAACTCACGAACCGAACTGCGAGATCAGGACCTGAGCCGAAGTCAGATGCTTAACTGACTGAGCCACCCAGGCACCCCAGCAATAAATTTAAAAAAAAAATTTTTTTTTAAGGTTTATTCATTTCTCAGAGACAGAGAGACAGAGCGTGAGTGAGGGAGGGGCAGAGAGAGACAGAGGGAGACACAGAATCTGAAACACGCTTCAGGCTCTGAGCTGTCAGCACAGATTCCGATGCGGGGCTTGAACTCATGGACTGCAAGATCATGACCTGAGCTGAAGTTGGACGCTTAACTGACTGAGCCACCCAGGTGCCCCAATAAAATATTTTTAACTTAAGGTATGTACATTGTTTTTTTTAGACATTATGTTATTGCATATTTAATGACTACTGTACAGTATAAATGTAACTTTGACATTCACTGGGAAACCAAAAAATTCATTTGACTTCCTTTATTGTGATTTTTGCTTTATTGAGGTGGTCTGGAACTGAACCCACACCATCTCTGAGGCATGCCTGTATTTAGGTTTAATCTAGAATTTGGGAAATTAAGCTAGCTTTCAACTATCTTTGTATCATCTTATAAAGACACATAACTCTGACACTATTTATCTCCAATAATTCGGACAAAGGAGGTGACAAATGGGTTTGAGATAACAGTCAAAAGACCAACCTTGATACTTTAATTATAATAAGTATAATAAGTATAATAAATATAAAAACATGTTTACTTATTTATCAAGAGAGACAGAAGGAGGGGCAGAGAGAGAAGGAGAGGCAGAGAAAGAGGGAAGAGAGAATCTGTCAGTGCAGAGCCTGACACGGGGCTCGATCCCATGAACCATGAGAGCATGACCTGAGCCAAAATCAAGAGTCAAATGCTTAACCAACTGAGCCACCCAGGTGCCCCTATAATAAAGCATTTCTGAAAATTATTTATTGATATATCTTTATTTTTTTATTTTAAGTTATTCTGATTTTATTTATTTTTTCAAATTATTCTACATTTAAAAAGTTTTAACATACAGTGTTACATTAGTTTCAGGTGTACAACATAATGACCCAGAAATTCTATACATTTCTTGGGTGCTCATGAGGATAAGTGTACTCTAATTCTCTTTATCTATTTCACCCATCCCTCCACCTACCTCCCCTCTGGCAACCACATAAATCTTTAAATCAGCTAACTCAAAATGCCCAGGCTGAGAACTTTTACTTTTTTTATTTATTCTGTTCTAACCATACCCAAAAATATCCATGAAATTTAAAAAATCAGACTATTTGACATGTATAAATCACACAATATCAAGTCTTCAAATCAAAATAAATAACAACCTAAAATAATTAAAAGAAGGTGAAATTACATCATTGAATTTGTCATGTTAAATAAGAGTAAAGCTTTCAGATTTCATTGGGGTACCTAGAGTATACAGAAACTAATTCTAGGAGCTGTTATTTACCTAATATCTAATAAATTGACTAAATACTGTTATGGGAATTACATGCTGCCCAACAACTTACCTCTCAAGATGAACATAATGCCGGGAAAGAACATTTTTAACCAAAAACACAGTCTTTGCATTAGCCTCTGGACCCATCAATTTGGAAAAATATAATTTTGCACGAAGAAAATAGCCAACGGGCCATAGCCACTCCTAAAAAAGATGATTTAAAAGTAAAGGAAAAAAAAAAGAGCTGTGAATATTTATGAAGTTATTTGAAAAATAACTTAAGCTGAAAATTCTGAAAAGAGAAATGAAATTCTTACAGGTCCTTGGTGATAATTGAAACCTTTAGCAAGATTGTAGTTGTCATTGTCTAAGGCGTTGTCATAAATACCACAGTAAACCATATCACTGCAAAATTATTGAAATTTAGGTTAGAAAAAGATCAGACATTACATAAGAAAGATTTTTCAATAGCAGAGGTAAAAGAAATAATCAAGTTATTTTGTCTTCCAAATCTATTAACCTTAGATTAGTATATACTGGGCTCAGAATGTCTTTTTTTTACAACTCATTTTAAAAGATTTATTTGTTTGTTTGTTTATTTATTTATTTTTAAGTAAACTCTCTGCTCACCATGGGGCTTGAACTCACAACCCCAAGATCAAGAGTCACATTCTCTACTGATTAAGCCCAGCCAGGCACCCCCAGAATACTTTAATACTGTGTGAGGGAATGATTAACAAATACTTACTGGCTAATACAAAAAAATATAAAGTATTCAGGTATCTTGCCTTCAAGGAGTTAGTCTAACACTAAATATTGGTTAAATTCAATTATTTCACTAAGCTTCTAATACACTTATTATAATTAAAATATATACAAAATAAATGAACAAACATTAAAGAGATTTTATTAAATATAATATAAATATTATATATTGGAAAGATTGTTTAAAAAAATTTTTTTTAACAATTATTTTTTTTAAGAGAGAGAGGGGGAGATAGAGCATGAGTGGGGTAAGGGCAGAAAGGGAGGGAGACACAAAATCCGAACCAGGTTCCAAGCTCTGAGCTGTCAGCACGGAGCCCAATGTGGGGCTCAAACTCAAAGAGTGAGAGATCATGACCTGAGATGAAGTCTGACACTTAACCGATGAGCCACCCAGGTACCCTGAAAAGATTGTTTTTTAAACTTCTCCAGTAAGTTAAAGTAATTAAAATTAGTACATTATCATTACAAATAGTAATTAAAATTAGTACATTAAAAGTACTAATTAAAAAGTAATTAAATTTAGTACATTAGCATTACAAATAGTAACCAAATGGACATAGAAAATTTATACACAGTTATAAACTAAACAAAGTATTACAAGCTTATTGTGACAAATACAAGATAGTTATCTATACTCAGTTTAATTATTACTTTTCTTTTTTTTTTTCTTTTAGTGAGAGACAGAACTTGCCACCTGAGTAAGCTTATTTATTTATTTACTTATTTCAAATGAGTAGGCTTTAACTGTGGGTTTTAGTATTGATCATTGGTTTGTAACACGTCTGAAAATGTGGAGAACACTTCAGAATATGGATAAGCATACACACAAAAAGTCTGCATCTCAAGATTGAAATGAGTACATAGTAAATTAGGAAAATTCTACAAAGGTAAGGGTATTATATAGAAATGGAACTCTGTCACCTATTGATGTAGAAAGCAAATTAATTTTGGGCATCAAACTTTAAGGGAAAATCGCAGAAGACAAACAGGGAGGTCATTACAAACTCAAGAAGAAACAAAAGTTGGAAAAGAAAAGAAACGTAAAATGGCATAAACACATAATCATAAAGTAAAAACAAAATCAGTTATTGGTTAAAATAAAAATAGTGGGGTAATTACACAGAAAGGATGGAAATGGTTGGTGGTGAGGATAGAGTTAAATCCTCATCTGTTAACACAAGAAATAACCAAATAGTGTCTAATATTTAAAAAAAAAAAAATCAAGAAACAGGGGCACCTGGGTGGCTCAGTCGGTTAAGCATCCGACTTTGGCTCAGGTCATGATCTTAGAGTTTGTGAGTTCGAGCCCCGTGTTGGGCTCTGTGCTGACAGCTCAGAGCCTGGATCCTGTTTCAGATGCTGTGTATCTCCATCTCTTGGCCTCTCCCCTGCTCATGTCTGTGTCTCTCAATAATAAATAAATGATAAAAAAAAATTTTTTTTTAAATAAAAAAATCAAGAAACAACTGCATACACACATTATTTAGTAATATGGGAGCAGGGATGCCTGGGTGGCTCAGTCGGTTGAATGTCTGACTCCTGATTTCGGCTCAGGTCATGATTTTGCAGTGTGTGAGATTGAGCCCGAGTTGGGCTCTGTGCTGACAATGCAGAGCCTGCTTGGGATTCTCTCTCTCTGCCCCTCCACCACTCACACTTGCTCTCTCTCAAAATAAATAAACTAATCAAAAATTAAAAAAAAAAAGAAATATGGAGGGAACTGCTAGGGGTAATAACTTGGAAAATTTTAAAGACTGTCTTTGAGGAGACAATATGTCTATACTTCCAATGTTCACAATAATCAAGTATTAATTTTACAGTCAGAAAAAGTAAACATTAGGAAATATTCATGTCATATTAGTTTTATAAACATAACACTTATTGATTATTAAATATAGGACAAGCATTGTGAACACTGATGTTTAATGAAGAAACAGATGGTGTTCTTAAAAACTCAGTTTGAATACAATTTTAGAGTTTACTGACAAGCAAAAAAATTATGGTTGATGCAATATAAACATCAACAACAACATTCTTTTTTTTTTTTTTTAACGTTTTTTTATTTTTGAGAGAGACAGAGACAGAATGCAAGCGGGTTGGGACAGAGAGAGGGCGGCACAGAATCCAAAGCGGGCTCCAGGCTCTGGGCTGTCAGCACAGAGCCTGACGCAGGGCTCGAATTCACAAGCTGTGAGATCATGACCTGAGCCGAAGTCGGATGCTCAACTGACTGAGCCACCCAGGCGCCCCAACAACAACATTCTTAATACTTACACTCCAACGTACTTGGGGTTCCAAAGTTTTCATGCCAAGATTAAATATAAATATAATTATATATTAAATATAATATGAATAATATTCTTAATATTTATACTCCAACTTACTCTGGATCCAAAGTTTTCATGCCAAGGGGACCAAGCAATTTTTTTTCTGCAATCTCCAAAGCTTTCCATGCTTTTTCTGCAGTAAAGAGCTCAGGGGCCTAATGAATATCAAAAGTGAATATTCAAACTTTTTAAGATCACAAAAGAATTAGTTTCCACCCACAGTGGAACATAAACTATTCATAAACTATTCATAAATGAAAACGGTTTAAAAATACAGTGTGCGTCAGAACTCATTTCAAGTGCAGAAGCTTAACCGGATCTAATGCTATGGGGCTGATGTGGGTGCGCTGCTCTTGGCCTTAGAAGTGAGCAAAGCTGTTAGATGTGATTATTTCCTTGTGTCGTTTTAAGAAAGTTATGAGCTCCAAAAGGAAGCTGCCTCAGCTACAGTGAAGGCAGAACACACTTAAACCCATCTAATTCATTTTTCAGGATGTTTGCAATAGCTTCCTTTAAGTATATCTGGTAGTCATTTTTTGCTTTTGGGGTCATAGTAAAATACAGAATGACTTACACTTTAACAGCACAAGTAAATGTACTTGTGATATGGAGGAGAGAAGATTCTGGTGGCTAAGAATCTGCATTTATTGTAATGGTTAAATGAAATCAAATGCACATTGAGTAGAAGCTATCTTTATGTACCTTTGCATTTTTTATTCTTTTTTTGCAGCTTTTATTCTACTATAATTTATAGTTCCATGTTTAGTGCTTTTTTTGACAAGGTGGAGACAGCTATGTAGTCATGGAAGAACACATACCATCTCTATTTTATTGTTCTTACAGTTTATTTTTAGACTAAGAGGTAAAATAGAGTCTAGAATTCTAGAGTGAATTGCAGCAATACAACAAGGAAACAATATGAGTTGAAGCAACTTTCATTAGTTCACCAGTCTAGATCTTTTCAGTTTGTATGCTGAGGCCCTCACTGGTCACAGCACAGGTGTGCCCAAATACGGATGCCATCAGCTTTCAAGTTGGGCGGGGCCTGGGGCTAACTGAAGCAGTTGGATCTGGCATGATCAACCTAATCAATTTTGACCAATGTACTGTATAAATATCGTTATTTTCTTTTTTTTTTAATTTTTTTTTCAACGTTTATTTATTTTTGGGACAGAGAGAGACAGAGCATGAACAGGGGAGGGGCAGAGAGAGAGAGGGAGACACAGAATCGGAAACAGGCTCCAGGCTCTGAGCCATCAGCCCAGAGCCCGACGCGGGGCTCGAACTCACGGACCGCGAGATCGTGACCTGGCTGAAGTCGGATGCTTAACCGACTGCGCCACCCAGGCGCCCCAATATCGTTATTTTCTATGTGTGCTATGATAAGAAAAACATTGGTAAGCACTCCATTAGTCATCATCTATTATTTTCTGTTTTTTGATACCGAATGTCATAGGTTAAGGGTGGTATGAAACTAGCTAGTAAACAATATACTTTTTGGCAACTGCATGAATTTGAAAATAAATGGGAATAAAGAACTAAATACACTCTACCACAACGTTTTTGAAATCTGAAAGTAGCAATTCACTTACTACAACCATTGCTATGGTGAAATTAGGCCTGAGCTGATAGTCACACCATGGGCTTGAAGCTCCATAGCTATCTTTGTATATGCCACGTTTGTGAACCAGATTAGGATGCTTTTCGTTAGAATCTGAAGGGTCTTCTGACACATAAAATAGCTTTTCGAAGTTGTCTTGTATTTTTCTGTTCCACTCATCGTATGAGATTGTCACAACCTTTCCTGAAACATGATAAAAGATTTGGCAGTTTTTAAGCATTCAAAGAAATCCATACATTTAGTTAGAGCCCAAGAGTAATATTTAGGCAATAAATTACCCACTTCTTACAACTGTCAGGGTCTTTTGAAGGACTCTAGCTTGAAATTAAAATTATCTTTTGTTATATTACCAAAAAGAATTAGACTCCAGTAAATGATCCCTGATTTGTCTTTGTATCACTCTTAACGTGTTTGATAAAGTTACATTTACTGTGCACTTGGAATGAGGCTACTCTGAATTGAGAAGTGCCAGAAGTGTAAATATACACTGGATTTCACAGAAAATACTCTCCCCACAAAAGAATGTAAAATGGCTCATGAATAATTTCATGCTTATTACATGGTGAAATAATATTTAGCACATATTGAGTTAATAATGTATATTATCATAATTAGTTTCACCTGTTTCTTTTTATTTTACTTTAATGTGAGTAATAGAAAATTTAAAATTATATTTCTTTTGGACAGATAGCTCTAGAAAAAGAGATGTAAAGATTTCCTAAGTGTTCACAAAAATGCAACTTGCTCACAGTCACATTAAGGAAAAGAAAGCATAATAAGGCAATTAACCATGATGTTTTTCATATCTCAGTTCAAAGCTGCTATAAAAATATGGTTAGTAACCAGGTTTGTTACAATTTCATAGTAGGAAATTAATGTTCTTTCTTTCCTCTTAATCTTAAGAGTTTTCTAATATTAGTTCATTGAGTCAAATGATGATTATGTAGACTAAGAGTATAGACTGTACATTTGAAGTTTCTTTTTAAATAAAATGCACAGCTTACCATGTCTTCTTATGGTGACTTCATGATAAGGGAAAATTCTTTTTTTGGATAATTCCAGCAACCAACGGACAGTAGATTTACTCAGGCCCACAATTTCCACAGCAGACCCATCTCTAAAATTAAAATAAATTTTACTCTGTGGGTTGGAGTCATTTAAGCACTACTTAAATGGCATTCAATAAATAATTCTGATGAATTATATAATTAATATGTTATAAAAACAACTATGAAAAGCCCCTCACTTTATTGAAATGTATACTGCATACATAAGAAATCTCTCCTCTAATTATTTTGCCATTGCTTACCTACTTAACAATTAAAAAAAGTTCCGTGAAGTGGAATGGTGATTATGGAGTTAAAGAAGATGGCAGCTGGAAAAGGTAGGGAATGCATCAGAGAATATTGAAACGGAGTACCAAAGACAGAAAACATGGGATAGAAGGACTGGAGAAAGCCAGGGAAAGTATACTTAGTAATTTGAAAGTGTGTTTTTTTTTTTGTTTTTTGTTTTTTTTTTAGAGAGTTAGAGAGAGAGAGAGAGAGAGAGAGAGAGAGAGAGAGAGAGAAAGCGAGAACAAGTTGGGGAACAGGGCAGAGGGAGGAGGGAGAGAGAGAATCTTAAGCAGGCTCCATGCCCAGCACAAAGCCCGAAGCGGGGCTTTTGACTTTGGGATCATGACCCAAGCTGAAATCAAGAGTTGGATGCTCAACCGACTGAGCCACCCAAGTGCCCCTGAAAGCTCATTTTTAAGGAAAATGAAAGGGAAGTATGAGACCTAATAACGTACCGAAATAAACATGCTTTAAAAAGAGTTCACGGGGCGCCTGGGTGGCGCAGTCGGTTAAGCGTCTGACTTCAGCCAGGTCACGATCTCGCGGTCCGTGAGTTCGAGCCCCGCGTCGGGCTCTGGGCTGATGGCTCAGAGCCTGGAGCCTGTTTCCGATTCTGTGTCTCCCTCTCTCTCTGCCCCTCCCCCGTTCATGCTCTGTCTCTGTCTGTCCCATAAATAAATAAAAACGTTGAAAAAAAATTAAAAAAAAAAAAGAGTTCACAAAGCATATAACAACAGCTATAATTAAATGATTTTTTTCACAGTTCTGACTGAAGATAAAATTTAGAATAAGAAAAGAGTTTCTCAGACTTGATACTATATTAAGCATTTAAAACCATAAAAAGAAATAATGGGAGAAAAGACAAAAAAATTTAGGAGGATAAAAGGTTCAGAAATTAAAAGTATTTCAAAAAGGACTGGGTAATGGGGTGTTTTCTATATGCATGAAAGATGGGCATAATGAAATGTTTACAATGAAAGCATTTTAGGTTAAGATCTTAACCACAGGGATAACGAATCATAATAATAATGAATCACTCCTTTGAGGTGCTTGTGGGGAATCACCCCACGAGAACTCCCTGAAAAGAACAGACAGCTTTCCTTGATGACTTGTAACAAGAGAGTTGTGTGTGTGTGCTGTGGGAGAGGAGGGAGTGGATGAAGGGAGGGAGATTTTGACTGATTTAATATGAAGACTTTGTGGTTAATAGAATAAAAGATTCCATAAGTATGTGGTTTTAAAAAGGGTATAATTATATATGCACAATACAAATAAATACTACCTTGGAGTGGCTGGGATTCCTCTGTTTCTGGCTCTGTCACTTTCTCCCATTTTATCCATCCATGTGCCGCAATTTAAGCGATTTCCTCCATAAACAAATCCTGTTTCTTCGTCAACACCTGCGGTTATATTGAAGCCTAGAAAAGCAAAATAAAACATTTATGAAATCTGAAAGGAATACAACAAACTAGGATAACTACTCTGGAGAGCACTGTGCTAATGCCGTAAAAGCTGAAAACATGTATGTTCTACCATAGGGTAGTTTCACTTCTAGACACATACTTTAGAGAAATCTTTACCCATGTGCATATGAAGGTATGCACAAGGATATTCAACGCAACACTGTATTAGCAAGAAAATAAATAACTGCTGAGCAGAGAAGTGAATAAACACTGTGGTTTATTCATACAGTGTAAAACTCTCTATACCATTTCAAACTAATGAACTAGATTTACATGAATCATAATGTGCAAAACCCCAAAACAAAATGATTGAGCAAACAAGTTGCAACAGGATATGCATAAGATATCTTTTCTTAAAAGTTTAAAATATAGACAGTACTAATATATATATTCATATAGGTCTATATGACTATGTCTAATATGATAATATTTAAAACATATAGTTATGTGTATATATTATAGTCTGAATACATATATAATGTATAATATACTGAATACATACTATATAATATACTGAATATATACTACATAATACATATGTAATTTACACATACTCAAACACAAACTCATAAAATTCAAAACATAAATGGAAATAATAAACCCTGATTCTAGCATAGTCATTAATTATAGAGAGGGAGGGAAGAGAGAGAGAGATGAAGCTCTACATACAATTCTGATGGTTTATTTTCAACACAAAACAGAAAGATCTGAAGAAAATATGATCAAATGTTAATATCTGCCTAATTTTATTTCTAGGTTTCAAGGTGTAATTTATATTTTTCTCTAACTGGAATGTTTTACAATTAAATCTAAAAATTAAAATAATTCAGAGATATCACAAAAAATGTTCTTTTAAGTATAAAATCTGTATCTATTTAGTGTCCTAACTGAAAGATAAAACAGTATCAGTGATTTTTACCAGTTCAATCATGTATACAATTTGTATGTTACCACCACAAACAATAAATTAACTAAATGAGGTTTTACCTACTTTTTTTTTTTTTTTTTTTTGAGAGAGCTTGAGTGAGTGAGGGGCAGAGAGGGAGAGAGAGAGAATCCCACAAGGGGCAGAAAGAGAGGGAGAGAGAGAGAATCCCGAAGCAGGGCTCCAGCTCACCTGATATGGGGCTTAAACTCATCCGATATGGGCCAGGACCTGAGCCAAAGTTGGATGCTTAACTGACTGAGCCACCCAGGCGTCCCTAACTACTGTTTAAAATGTAATTTAGGGGCGCCTGGGTGGCGCAGTCGGTTAAGCGTCTGACTTCAGCCAGGTCACGATCTCGCGGTCCGTGAGTTCGAGCCCCGCGTCGGGCTCTGGGCTGATGGCTCAGAGCCTGGAGCCTGTTTCCGATTCTGTGTCTCCCTCTCTCTCTGCCCCTCCCCCGTTCATGCTCTGTCTCTCTCTATCCCAAAAATAAATAAACGTTGAAAAAAAAAATTAAAAAAAAAATAAAATGTAATTTAGAACATGCAAGAAGGAATATAAGTTTTTGAGTTTACGCCAAAATTTGCCAATGACTTAGTGAGTTATCTGAAATAGCTGAAATAGATCACTTAAAAAGATGATCATTTTACAGTAAAAACAATAGTGTTTAAACAAAGAGCAACAAGAATCCATAATCCTATTACCCTAACAAAAACTATTACATTTATGTATTCCTTTCTAATCTTTTCACAGAATAGTAATATTTTCATAAATAAATCCAACTATTTTTCATGTATTAGATTCAACACCCATATAGTTCTTAATATTCAAATAATATTACACAAATTATAAAAATTATAATCATTACAAATTATTGAATTTTTCATTCAAGTAAATGTAAACAGGGGTGCCTGGGTAGCTCAGTGATCCACAGTTCATGGGATCTCAACAGTTCATGTGATCTCACAGTTCATGGGATCAAGTCCCATGTGGGGATTCTCTCCTCCTCTGTCTGCCTCTCCCCCTCTCATACACACATTCTCTCTCTCAAATAAACATCAAAACAAAACAAATGAAGTCAATTTAAACATTTCCTCTTAGACATAATTATTTTATTCTTTTCTGTGATTATAAGCAAAGTTATGATCAGTATCATGTAATATGGACTTTTTGTATTTTAGGTTATTTCATAGACTAGATTCCCAGAAATGGAATACATTTATGAACAAAAACATGTGAATATTTTGTATCTCATAAAATATATGTGGATCTCTCTCTCTCTCTCCAAGTTGCTTTTGAAGAAGAATGAGTCAATTTGCAATACCATCAGTAGTATCTGAATATCTCTCAAAACTAAAATCTATTATTTGTTACTGTTTGCTATGGATTGAATTGTGTAAATGCCCAAATTCATATGTTGAAATCTTAACCCCAGTACATCAGAATGTGACTTTATTTGCACACAGGAATTTAAAAAGTTAATCACATTTGGGGCACGTGGGTGGCTTAGTCGATTAAGCGTCCGACTTTGGCTCAGGTCATGATTTCAGTTTGTGAGTTCGAGCCCTGCATTAGGCTCTGTGCTGACACCTCAGAGCCTGGAACCTGCTTTGGATTCTGTGTCTCCTTTTCTCCTTGCCCCTCCCCCACTTGTGCTCTGTCTTTGTCTCTCAAAAATAAATAAATGTAAAAACAAATTTTTTTTAAAAAAGTTAATCACGTTAAAATAAGGGCATTAGCCTGGGCTTTAATCCAATTTGACCAGTATCCTTATAAGATGAGGAATTTTGTGCACAGACAATGCACAGAAGGAAGCTGATGTGAAGATACAGGGAGAACACCATGTAACCATGAATATGGCCATCTACAAGCCATGGAGAAAGACCTGGAACAGATCCTTCTTTCATAGACCGAAGGTTGAGTCAACCCTCCCAACACCTAAATTTTGGACTCCTAGCCTCTAGGACTGATAGACAATATATTTCTGTCATTTAAGCCACCCAGTGTGTGGTACTTTGTTATCCTAGTCCCAGCAAATGAATACATTGGTTTTTTTGCTAATAATAAACAGTAGACTTATAGAACTCACTATATGCCTGCTATGTGTACTGCTCTAAGTGCTTTAACATACATATTTCATTGAATCTTTGTATCAACCTTAGGGGGTAGGTGCTGCTATTATCTCCCTTTTACAAATGTAGAAGAGAGAGGCAAAGAGAAGTTAAAACTTATCCAAGGGAACACAGCTAGAAAATGAGCAGAGATGGGATTTTTAAGATAGCAAGTCTGCGTCTAGCATTGGCGCTTTCATTCACGCTCTGTTGTCTCATGATAATTTAGTAGAGGAAAAATGGTGACCGACTTTAATATGAATTTGTTTGAGTGCCGGTAAGACTGACTGAATGCTTCTCTCATGTTTATTAATGGACTATCCATGTCCTTGGGCAAACTACTTGTCTGCCTCCCCTTCTTATTTCCTGAACTGTGAGCTAGGGATAGAGGTACTAGCCTCTGGAAAATGTTTGCAAAGTAATACACAAAGGCATGGAGGCTTTTAATTTATCTGATATTAAATATATGACAATAATTGGATATTAAATACATGGCAATAATTGGATAATCAATGGTTAGTGATTTCCCACTCAGAGATTTAGTGGAGCAAGAGAAACATACACAAAAAGGTACATGGGTTAAAATAACTGTAAAAGGACAGGTTGCTTCAAATGTACAAAAAAAGTACCAAAGAAATCATATTTTTGTAGTTTCTGATGAAATGGCAAAATATCCCAGGCTATGGGATCTCTCCCCAAAATCACCCCTAGAGAAACTACAGAATTGAATGTGAGGTACTGATTTGAAGAATTCACATAATTTTTGGGAGAAACTGACAAAAACAAGTGAAACCTGACTAGCCACTCTTGGGCTTTCACTCTATCTAGGCTTTTAATGTTGTTGTGTTATAAGCTAATGAGATTGCCTCTTTTCAGAGCTGTATGGAGTTACTACTAATCAAGGGAACATGAGCTTATTGAGAAGAAGAAAACATTAGATACCAGATGAATCTAACCACTATAAAAAGAAAAGAAGCAGGGTGCCTGTCTGGCTCAATTGGTAGAGTGTGGGACTTTTGATCTTGGGGTTGTGAGTTCAAGCCTCATGTTGGGTAAGAGATTACTTAAAAATAAAACCTTTAAGGGGTGCCTGGGTGCCTAGGTTGGTTAAGCGTCCTGATTTCAGCTCAGGTCATGATCTCATGGTTCGTGAGTTTGAGCCCAGTGTCTGGATTTGTGCTAACAGCATGGAGCCTACTTGAGATTCTCTCTTTCCCCCTCTCTCTGTGCTCCTACCCCACTCTATCTCTCTCTCTTTCAAAAATAAAATAAACATTCAAAAAAATTAAAAAGAAAAAAGAAAAACACTTGAAGATAGTGTTCACATCACAATAAAAACAACTATAGCAACTTATAGATCACTTTTTACTAGCCAGTGTTCTGAGAGGTTTCATAAGTAACAAATAAATGAGATTAGCTCATTGAACTAACTCAAATAAATTTGAAGGATGTTGTAGGAAATATGGAAAGAAAAGATGATCAGATTGTACATAAAAGTTTATTGCTGTAGAATATATGAGGACCCCTTGAAATCAACAAGAAAAATACAGGAATGCTAAAAGAAAGATAAAGGCGGGGCGCCTGGGTGGCGCAGTCGGTTAAGCGTCCGGCTTCAGCCAGGTCACGATCTCGCGGTCAGTGAGTTCGAGCCCCGCGTCGGGCTCTGGGCTGATGGCTCAGAGCCTGGAGCCTGTTTCCGATTCTGTGTCTCCCTCTCTCTCTGCCCCTCCCCTGTTCATGCTCTGTCTCTCTCTGTCCCAAAAATAAATAAACGTTGAAAAAAAAAATTTAAAAAAAAAATAAAAAAGAAAGATAAAGGCAAAGAACATGAAAGGACAATTTATAGAAAAGGAAACTTTCTAAAAAGGTATTAACATATGAATAATACTCAAATTCACCAGTGATAGGAGAATCACAAGTAACAACAATTACATATTGCTTTACACCCATGAGATTAGTGGACAATGCGGGTGGGCACAGAAGAAGCCACTTTGTCAGTGGGAATACAGACTGGCATAATAATTATGGAAACAAATTTGGTAGTACTTAATCAAAGAGCATAAGAGTATAGTATATATAGCTCTGATACAGCAATGCTAAGTGAAATAAGCCAGACACAAAAGGACAAATACTGCATGATTCCATGTACATGAGGCATGTAGAATAGTCAAATTTACAGAGGAACAAAGTAGAATAGTGGTTATTAGGGATGAGGGAGGAGGGAATGAGGAGTTATTGTCTACTGGGCACAGAGTTTCAGTTTAAGATGATGAAAAGTTCTGGAGATGGATAGTGATGATGGTTTCATAATAACGTGAATGTACTTAAAGCCATTGTACACTTAAAATGATACATTTTATGGTAAAATGCTAAACATGTTATGTGGATTTTGCTACATACACAAGAAACCTCAATAGTGGAAAAAACCAACACTCCAATTAAAAAATGGGCAAAAGACACAGACATTTCATCCAAAAGAGATACAAATGGCAAATAAGCACATGAATGGATGTTCAATACCACTGGTTATTAGGGAAATGCAAATTAAAACCACAATGGGTAGTGGTGTACCCAACTATCAGAACAGCTTAAAAAAAGTGATTAACGTCAAATGCTGCTGAGGATGTGGAGAAGCTGGATCTCTCAAGTTTGCGGAAGGGAAGGTACACCACTTTGGAAAATAGTTTGGCAGTTTCTTATAAAACAAAATCCATACTTACCATATGACCCAATCACATTCTCAGGCATTTGTCCCAGAGAAATAAAAATTTATGTTCATACAAACACCTGTATATAAATGTTCATGTTAGCTTTATTTATATTAACCAAAAAATGGAAATAACCAAAATGTCCTTCAACAGATGAATGTTACATCCAGGAAAGAGAATACTACTGAGCAATAAAAAGGAATAAACGACTGATACATGCAACAGCTTGGATGGACCTCAAAGGGAATATGCTTAGTGAAAGAACTTATCTCAAAAATTTACATGCTATATGATTCCATTTATATACATTCTTAAAATGACAAAACTACAGACTCTTAAATACAGAGAACAAACTGAGGGTAGATGGGGGGGGTAGGGGAGAGGGGAAAATGGGTGAAGGGCATTGAGGAGGGCACTTGTTGGGATGAGTACTGGGTACTGTAAATAAGCCAATGTGACAATAAATTATATTAAAAAAATAAAAATTAAAAAATTAAAAAATGACAAGACTATAGAGATGCAGAACAGATTAGTAGTTGCCAGAGACCAGGGATTGTTGGTGTGACTCTTAAGGGGTAGCACAAAGAAGACATTTCTATATACTGATTGTGGTAGCGATTACATGAAGTTACACATGGGGCAAAATTACACAGAGCCATGCACACACATGTACACACACAAATGAGTTAATGTAAGAATGGTGAAAATTGAATATGGTCTAGTTAACAGTATTGAACTAATGTCAGCTTCCCGATTTTGATATTGTATTACAGTAAGATATAGATAAAATAGATAAGATATCCTCATTGGGGTAGCTGGATGAAGGCCTCAGTATACTCTTATGTGTCATTTTTACAGCTTTCTATCAATCTCTAATTCTTTCACAATTAAAAAGTTAAAATCTACATGCACACAAAGCAGTATATGTTTCACAGAACAATATATAAATATACAGCAAATGTACATGTATTGTATGCCCTGCATGTGTCTTTATATTACTTCCTGTATGGAATGTCTCTAGAGGGAATGGATAATAAAATAGTCATTAGCCTTGCATTGGCTGATGATGATAGTGTGCCATAAAAATAGGAACATGATAAAAGAGGTTAAAAAAGTAGATCTATTTTAACTCTGTAGACAAAGCTTTTTACAAAAAGAATCTTATAAGAGCCTAAGTTACAGAGAAAGATGGTGGACAAAATCCTAGCTCCACCACTTAGTAGCTGTGTGACTCTGGGCAAGCTACTCTGCTTCGGTCATCTTATCAATACACCTGGGAACAATATAATGCATCCCCAATGTTCTTGGGAGTGTTAAATGGGAATAATATAGGTAAAGTAGTTAGCACAATGCCCATCACATAGTAAGCCCTCATTTATTATGCTTATAAATGCAACCACCAAAATTACCTTTTAAATTGGCTGGCAAAAAGGTACAAAATTAAAAAGATACACAATTTTATCTTTCCTCTAGAAACTAAAACTAAACCGGTGAGATCAGGAACTGTGTTAATCTTTCTCATTGTTATATTTTGAAGTTTCACAAATAAAATATTTGTCAAATACATGAACAATTAGGGGCTCCTGGGTGGCTCAGTCAGTTAAGCGTCTGACTCTTGGTTTCAGCTCATGTTACGATCTCACAGTTTGTGGGATAGAGCCCCACAATGGGCTTTGTGCTGACAATGCGGAATCTGCTTGGGATTCTCTCTCTCTCTCTCTCTCTCTCTCTCTCCTTCTCTCTCTGCCCCTCCCCTGCTCTCTCTCTCTCTTAAAACAAACAAACTTAAAAAAAATACATGAACAATTACCAGGTTTAATTCCACCTCATCAGTAAATCTTTACTATGTAAAGTTATGTACCTTCATCCTTCATGTTTCGATCTATCTGTGGCCCAGCATTCCTTTCTCGGAACTGTATGCCCTGCATATGTCTTTGCATTACTTCCTGTATTACTTCAAACAATGGCTGATCCTGTTTGGGATACAATGGATGTTATTTTTGTTAGAAACTGCATTTTTCTTACCTTTTCCCAAATCCCACAACTGTAGTTTTGTGAAAACATATTTTCCTCTGGAAGAGAAATGGGGTGGGACTGGGGAAGGAAGCTCCTATACCCCACATTAAACAGTCAGCCTCTGGCATATGAATGTTTAACATACTGTAGTTTCGACTATTCATGTCTGTGATATGAAATAGTTTGTAATTTTGCTGACACATGAAAATGAATCTTATGAGTTTGTATAGTTTCTGTTCAAGTGAACTGTGCAGATAATAAATGTATCTAGCTTCTACAGAAGCTACAGAAATCTAAATTGGCATTGCTGTTTTTACGCATCCACATATATAGTAACAGGGATAAATTACATGGTAAAGTGACACTTTAGGTAAAAACTTTTTTTGACAAATGTTCTTTGAATATTTCATGACAAAAATATCATGGGGGCACAGATCTCTGCTAACTTTAAGATGGTTTAGAAGTTCTCCACAATCACATACCAAACAAACTATAATATAAAGGTGGATCAGAAATGGCAAAAGTACATAATCTTTGTACATTATTGACTGGGAAGAAAACCACTCAAAACGTTTATTTTTTCTGCACTGTTCACAAGGTAAGGGCATTGTGGTTTGGTGATCAGGCTCTCCGCAACCTTGTTCACCCTTTCCACTATCTCTTATTACCTTGCAGGTGCCCTACACAAAAAGTCAAACTAGACTCAGCAGCATGTCCTAAATGTGCTTCAATCCACCCTGCACTTTATTTTTCCTTTCATCTTTGATGTTTTCTCACAACTTCCCTCATCTCTGCTGAAATCCTACTCCCCTTTTAAGGTTCAGTTGAGGTGAAATTTTAGCTACTTTATGAAGTCCTCACTAAGAACCAACTACCTATTAGATTCTCTCTCTCTCTTTTATGCATGGCATTTCCTATACACCTTTTTGTAATGACCATAATATGTATATGTTATCTTTTCTACCATGTTGCAAGTTCCTTCCTTGAACTTGAAGTTTGAACTTGCACTTGAAGATAAGAAGCAGTCTTATCACTGCAATCTTTCAAAGTCCTAGCAGGTGCTAAACAAATACCAATACTTGAATTCTTCAGATCTGGATTCTTAATTACATGCACTTTTATATTTTATACACTTTTACAGCTAGAAGTCATTTTTCGGGAAAAAGAAATTATTTTAAGATGATTTTTACCAGTGTGCCGGCAGACAAAGGAGCAGAATCATCTGTAGGATACATTCTGGAAACTGGACACTTGAGAATGTCTAGGCCATTGGGAACGAATTTACAATAATCCTGAACACACTGTAGCCACCACCACACAGCATCCCGGCAATTGTATCTGGCATAAGTTCCTTCGCCCAGGAGATTAGGAATGAGACCGTGTCTCAGGGTACCAGCAAATGCTAAAATAATATTCCTAAAACAACAGAATTAGGTGGATCATTTGATATGAAAACAATCAGTTAAAAATTTTTAAGTCCCTTTTTGTGACTACTATTTCTGCCCTTCTTTGAAATTTCATGGAGAAGTGGCCATAATATGATACATCAAGCACTGAATTAAAGGCCAGAAACCTTGATCCTAGCCCTGGCTTTTTCTCTGACAATCTTACCTTCTCTGGGATAGTTTTTTTTATCTGTGGATTTAGGGATTGGACTGGGTGGTTTTTAGGGCCCCTCATATCTCTAGATTCTACTTTTGAAATCTGTGGTATTTCAAAATCTAAGTAACTATGAAATGAACTAGCAGATATGAAGAGCAAATATGAAGATATGAAGAGCAAAGCAAATATGTAAGAAAATAAATGAGTAAAAGTTGACCTTGAAAATCATGATTTATTTTCAAAAACTGGTAGAGAATACATCTTTTAAAGTATTATTGTACTGTCATATACCAAATGACAACTTCGTAAGATGGCATATTGCATTCTAAAATCTAAGACGTAAGAAATAAGAAGACTGAGATTTAAAACCTAGCATTGCCATCTGTATGACCTAGGAAAAGTCATTTAAAATGTCTGGCCTCAGTGCTTTTTGGCTAAACCATTTGGAAATTTAATTAGTTTTGTGTCTCAGTTTAATGCCTGTCTCTTAAATAATAGTGCAATAAAAATCCTTCTTATATCCTGCAGCACAAAAGTGTTAGTATGGATAGTGACAGTTCCAATTAATAAAAGGTCAGAATGCAGCAATCTTAGCCATCCAGAACAATGTCACACACTTGAAAGTTGAATACAAAGACTTCTGTCCATGAATATCTCTGCAGAAGGAGGAAGTAGAACTCTCTGTGGTAGAGATAGCCATGTGTCCACCAAAATGGCTTTCCCCCATGTCCCAACCTACTTTAGAGCTGGCTGTGACCAGATTACTGGATTCTAAGGCAAACATGTGAATGGAACTGATGTATGTTAAGTACACAGAACAGGTGCATTTTCCTTAGGCTCTTTCCCTCTCTGCCAGCTGATTGGAGAGTAGTACTCAGAGGCCCTGGGAGATGGTCGATCCTCAAGATGAAGGAGCCTGTATCCTTGAATCACTATGTGGAAAGCTGCCTCCTGAACACCCATTTGGGGCGAGAAGCAAGAAATAAATTTCGTCTGTGAAAAACCATTTAAGTTTATAAAGAAAAAACATTTTTTTTTTAATATTTATTTTTGAGATAGAGAAAGAGACAGAGTGTGAGCGGGGGAGGTGGAGAGAGAGAGAGGGAGACACAGAATCCAAAGCAGGCTCCAGGCTCCAAGCCATCAGCACAGAGTTTGATGTGAGGCTCGAACTCACAAACCATGAGATCATGACCTGAGCCAAAGTCAGATGATTAACCGACTGAGCCACCCATGTGCCCTAAGAGTTTATAATTTATATAGCAGCTAGTACTACCCTAACACATACATTATCCTCTTGGAATCATCTAGATCAGGGTAGGCAACCTTTTTTCTATAAAGGACCAGAAAGTAAATATTTTAGGCTTTGTTGGCCATATATATGGTCTCAATCATGTATTCTTCTTTTTTAAATGACTCTTTAAAAAGGTAAAAATTATTCTTTGCCCCAGGTGATACAAAATAGGCGGTAGGCCATATTTCATTGACCCCTGATCTAGACAGTCATATGTGAAATTGAGAAGGAGAAATTGTTGGTAGTATATAGAAGTGATAATTGAGAGCCCAGATAACAATGAAAATGATAATAATGATTAAAAAATTAACATTTGTGTAACGTATGTGACAGATACTGTTCTAGACGCTATAACTGTATAGCTCATTTAATCTTCACAAAACCCCTGTAGGTTAAGTACTATCACCATTTTACGGAGAGTACAACAAAGATAAATAATGTGTCAGCTGGTAGTTTGGAACCAGGATTAGAACCTGGCAGTCTGGCTGAAACCCAATTTCTTAGCCATTGTGCTGAATTCTGATGTTCCATTTCCTACTTTTTAATCATGGTAATTTAGAGCATTTGGGGAAGAAGCAAACAGCATCCCAAATCTCTACAGCCCCACAATGGTCTCTTTAGTCAATAAGAAATGATCTTATTATATTAGGTTAGCAGGGAAGAATATGATACATTTCAGATGCCTACTTAGAAATTTTCAATTTTAAAAGGATTGAAAACAAAACTTTTGTCATTTGAAGAGGCAATGACAGTTATTTTCTGAATGACATCAAAACAAGTTATCATATAAATGCTTTTTTTGCTGAAAGTTTTAACTTGTAGAGCAGTGCTGTCAAACTTTAGCCTTGGGCTGCTGAAAATCACCTGGAAAACACAGATTTCTACCTGGTACTCTGCCCTCTCTATCCCCACATTCGGAGGTCCAGCATAAGGATCAAGAATTTACATTTCTAACAAGTCCTCAGATGATGGTGACACTGCTGGTTGGTGGCACTGAGTTGTGCTCATTTGAGCAGCACTGCTATAATAGCCTCTCTTTTCTGCCTTTGGTAGTTCCATTCATACGATTGTGACACTAAGAAACACTATTTTAAATCTAAAAAAACATAAAACTGGAGGTTCCAAGGCCTGACAACAGATAGAGGAAAAGCTGATACTACAATTCTTTCTACAGGACTCAGTGTTCATTATAGAAGGAAAAAAATGATAAAATTCAAATTTTACCTAAAGGTGAATCTGAGTTCTTATAGTTAATTCAGGCACAGAAGTTTTATTCTTTAGTGAGTGATGTTAGTAACATGGTTAAATATTTTTTAGTTTTACTGAAATCAATTAGCAAATGCTGAAGATAACCTGACCTATAACATGAAGGACTAGAACTTAGTAACTTCAAAAATTTTCACTACTTTGAAATTCTGTGATCTTATTAAATGAACATGTATAAAATAAAATAGGGGCACCTGGGTGACTCAGTCGGTTCAGCGTCTGACTTAGCTCAGGTCATGATCTCACAGCTCGTGAGTTCGAGTCCAGTGTCAGGCTCTGTGCTGACAGCTCAGAACCTGGAGCCTGCTTCGGATTCATTCTCTCTCTCTCTCTCTCTCTCTCTCTCTCTCTCTCTCTCTGCCCCTCCCCCCTCATACTCTGTTTCTTTCTCTCTCTTTCTCAAAAGTAAATACACATTAAAAAATATTAAAAAAAAAAAAAACACCTAAGGAAAACCTACCTCCCAACTGTTACAAATAGTTGGCAAGGAGGAAGGTTTGAAGAGCATGTGAAAAACATTTAGACACAAACTTGCACTCCAACTCTTTAGAGATCTCCTACCTGGCCTCCAAATAGCGTCCAGTAATCAGCAGTAGACCTCTCAGTGCAATAAAAGTATCCCTTCCCCAGCAGCGGAAAATACCAGAAGAAAAATGAGGTAAACCTAATAGAAAACACAACAAAGTAATATATTAATAATACACCCAAGCCCCTATGAACTCCATTACTATAGGCCAGTTGCTTTAAGCGTGGGGGACAAGAATAAGCTATAGGGAGTCTGCAAGCCCTCTAAAATTATATGCAAAATGTGTGATGTATTTATACCCACATCAACTTTTGTGTGATGAGGTTCCATATTCTTATTACTTTCTTAAGGGAATCCATGATTTTGAAGATATTAAGAATCAAGGACGAGAGGGATACTTACCTGAATTGATTAGAATGTGAGTCTTTAAACTTTAAAGATAAACTTTCTTTTAATAAGTTAAAGCTAAATTGAAATCAGAGATCTAGTATTTAACATATAAACAAACAATACAGTGTTAATTATATATATATATATTTTGAGTAACACAAGTGGGAAAGTTTAATAAAGTGAAAAGTACACTCTCCAGATATGAGAACAGATAAGCTCAAGAAAAAGACAGCTGCGCCATATAATGTTAATGATATATTTGAAAAGATTCCACCTGCAATTTAAAGGTAAGAAATCACTCTAAATACAAAATGATTACCTTACTGATATATAATTAAATATGTTTATTAATCGATCAGTCTAGAGACAAACTTTAATACCAAATTTCCCATTAATTCAAAACAACTTAAAAGTGTTAGACTTTGTTAGCCAGTTTTTATAAATGAAAATAAGGATTTCAGGTGCTAAATAACTTGAACATTCTAGGTAACTACAGCCTTTATGCATGAGATAAGATAGGGTGATTGATGGATAAAATCTACAACTTTTAGATTGAGTTTGGTTTCTTATAAAACAAGTAAAGAATATATTGTTATCTTTATTGGTACCAAAAACAATGATCAGTGAAAAGTAAAGGAAATCAGCATTCCACTCAAAAAAAGAACTATGCTAAAGCATAAATGCAACACATTTTTCAGGAAGGGAAAACTAAGGACATAAAATGTAGGGGCGCCTGGGTGGCGCAGTCGGTGAAGCGTCCGACTTCAGCCAGGTCACGATCTCGTGGTCCGTGAGTTCGAGCCCCGCATCATGCTCTGGGCTGATGGCTCAGAGCCTGGAGCCTGTTTCCGATTCTGTGTCTCCCTCTCTCTCTGCCCCTCCCCTGTTCATGCTCTGTCTCTCTCTGTCCCAAAAATAAATAAACGTTGAAAAAAAAATAAAAAAAAAATGTACACAGTGTTCATTCATAACTATCTTCTAAACACTTAACATTATATGACATTATCTTGTTTGCTTGTTTTCTGGTTTGTTGAATGAACAAATGTCTCTCCATAGTGGAAAATAAGATTCACGACAACAGAAACCTTATCTGGCTTGTTTACCAAACTATATCTATTGCTAAAAGTTGTAACTGGTAAGAAAAAATTATAAAAATGTATTGAATGAATGAAATAAAAGACTAATTATAAAAGGCAAATTGTGGGGTGCCTGGGTGGCTCAGTCAATTAAGCATGTGACTCTTGATTTCTGCTCAGGTCATGATCTCACGATTCGTGAGATCACTCCACGTTGGGCTCTGTGCTGACAGCTCAGAGCCTGCTTGGGATTCTCTCTCTGATCTCTCTCTCCATGCTGGCGCAATCTCTCTCTCTCAAAATAAATAAATAAACATTTTTCAAAAAAGGTAAGTTGAGAAGTGAAAGAATTTGACTGAGATAAAAGAAAATTTTGGCCATTCCTAAGTATACTTCACAATTTAAGTTTCTGCTTATTGGGTCTTTGCCTTCTTGGAGAGTCGACATTACTTTCTATTAAGAAGGATCAGAACTAAAGGCAATATTAGACGTTTCTTTTCTACATTGTCTCTAAAATAATGGTACAAAATTTCTCTAAACACTTTGTGTATTATTTGCACATGGTTGTTTATTAATATATGGTTTATATATGGTTGATGATTGTAACTTTGATGATGATGAGGACAGTGGACATCTATAATACCACTCTATGCCACACAGACTTCCTGGTACTTTAACCCATTTAACACTTTGAATAAATTATGAGTATAGATAGATTTAAGGGTGAATTTGAGTTGTTATGCCCTAAAGTACAGGCAATTTGTCTTTGGGAAGAAGTCAAAACTATAAAATCTCTAGCACTGATATGTGGAAATGTTAGCGTTAACCTTTTGACCTCTAAGAGTATAGGACTTACCACATATCTTCTGAGTGATTTCTACCTTGTCAATTATTATACAAGTTTACAATTATAATTTTTTTTGGTACTATTGTCACCAAAGACCTTGGTATTCATTTTAAAATGAACCCCCAAAAACCTATCTGCAAAAATGAGCACAGTTCTGTTTTTTGTTAGTATGTAGCATACAGAACAGTCTCTTGGGATACTAGAAGGAAATATCAAAACTTCTATTTATATTTATCAACGTACCTTTCTGGTTTCTTAAAATTTTTTTTTGACATTTATTTATTTTTTGAGAGGCAGACAGAGAGTGTGAGTGGGGGAGAGGCAGGGAGACAGAGGGAGACACAGAATCTGAAGCAGGCTCCAGGCTCTGAGCTGACAACACAGAGCCTGATGGGGGGGCTTGAACTTATGAACTATGAGATCATGACCTGAGCCAAAGTCAAATGCTTAACTGATTGAGCCACCCAGGTGCCCCATTACCTTTTTAGTTTCTATTTTTATTTTACACTGTACAAGATTATATCCGATATCATAACATATCAATATACCAGTTATGATACCAGTATATCAGTATATTTATTTTGGGAGTGCTTAACAATAGCAGTGCATAGTCAAGAATGTTGAGATCACTATACTGTGCAATAGGCTTCTAAGCAGTGGGCTTTAAAACCAAATTCTGCATATCATTTTTTTTTCCACAATGACCCAGTTCAGTTTCATGAGCATCTGCATGAATTCACAGGGGAAATTAAGTACCAGGAGGAGATGATATTGAGTGAAAATCTAAAACATGATTATATAATTAAAACATTCAGAGGATTCATATGATCATTCTAAATGAAAAGTTAATTTCTTTTTTAGTTGTCAGGTCTTAAGAAGTCTTTTCTTAGTCTGAGTAGATGCAAATTTAAGGGTAAACAGAGGAAATCACATAACTACTATTATTCTCATCCTGCAATTTGGTATTTTTCAGTTTAGTTTGGAAAGTTTTAAATTCAGTGGTGTTAAGTATTAAGCACTTTCTAGAAATAGCTTGAAAAAATTAAAAAGAAAATAAAAGCCTGTTCTTTAGCCTATTTTGCTTACTGAGATTTGTTTCTTGATTCAGGTTTTTTTTTTTTTTTTTTTTTCAACGTTTATCTATTTTTGGGACAGAGAGAGACAGAGCATGAACGGGGGAGGGGCAGAGAGAGAGGAAGACACAGAATCGGAAACAGGCTCCAGGCTCCGAGCCATCAGCCCAGAGCCTGACGTGGGGCTCGAACTCACGGACCGCGAGATCGTGACTTGGCTGAAGTCGGACGCTTAACCGACTGCGCCACCCAGGCGCCCCTTGATTCAGGTTTTAATACTACTTGCAGGAAAGGATGCCAACAAATAGAGTTGAAAGAATTTTATTGCAATTAGACACATAATAAAAATTATTTAACATTTGTTTTGTGTTTTGTAACATGTAGAGGATCTTCCAATTATCTCTTGGTAATTTGCAAGGTTGAGTTAATTTTTTTAACTGTTTATTTTTTAGAGAGAGAGAGAGGGAGACAGAAAGCAAGCAGGGGAGGGGTAGAGAGAGAGGGACACACAGAATCAGAAGCAGGCTCCAGGCTCTGAGTTGTCAGCACAGAGCCCGATGTGGGGCTCGAACTCACGGCATGGACCGCGAGATCATGACCTGAGCTGAAGCTGGATGCTCAACCAACTGAGTCACCCAGGTGCCCCTTGAGTTAATGTTTTAAATTGGGAAAGAAGTATAATATAATGTAAAAGAGTAGTAAAACAAATCTGATAAAAAAAAATACAAAATACTCAGAGTTGGAAAAAATAGAAACATGCAGAAGAAAAGGATTAATGAGCCACAATGAAAACACACAAATAAATGTCTGTTGCACAGTATTAATTAAATAGTAAGCACAATTGTTAGTTTTACAAGTGAATAGCTATGGAATTTTACTAAGCAGTCACATAAAATCTTGGGTAACATCATGAGTTTTTTTAAAAAATTAGTCATTTCCCCATAGCTTTTCCTCTTTGAAAAAATATTGACTGACACATTTTAACCTGTATGTAATTTCTTACCTGCAGCTAGAGATACACAATATTGCTCCTTTTCTTTTGTGATCTCATTTAGCCTATATGGCACATCCATGAGTGAAGGTGAAAGACGTGGCAGAGAAGGGCACTTTCCTACTCCACACATTTGCACTGATCCCAGTGAAAGGTGTTTCACAAAGGTAGAACCATTCTGAACAAAGCTGTAACAAAGTGACCGAGTTTAAAATATTTGTAGAGGGGCACCTAGGTGGCTTAGTCAGCTGAGTGTCTTACTCTTGATTTTGGCTCAAGTCATGATCTCATGGTTCGTGAGATTGAGCCCTGAGTCAGGCTCTGTGCTGAGCCTGCTTGGGATTCTTTCCCTTTCTCTGCCCCTCCCCTTCTTGTGCACATTCTCTCTCTTTCTCTCTTTCCTCTCGAATAATAAATACACTTAAAAATATTATTTGTAGAAATGCAAAATTGTGGTGTTCATACCACATACTTGAAATCTACTCTCAACAGATCTTAAGTGTACAATGCAATACTGCTATTTACAGGCACAATGGTACACAGCACATTTCTAGAACTTACTCATCTTGCATACCTACTATTTCAAAATTATTTAGCAGTGTCATTTTATTTGGTTTCTTTCAAAGTCTCTCTACGCAGATGTGTAAAAATGGTAATACTAGTTGAAAACATTTTCAATTTGGTTAGATTTCAGAACTGCTTTCATTTTACCCAGTATTACAACTGGCTTTAAGTCCATGACCTTGTTGTGCCAAATGGAAGGAAGGGCTGAAGTTCTGTTCTTTCTGAAATTATGCCCAAATCAATTTGGTGGCTCTTCAGTGGCACATTAGATCTGTAATTTCATTTTAGGGAAATTCATCACTAAAGGCAGATTTCATTCATAATAACAGAATAACTTTTTTCTTAGTTAATGAAAAATTAGAAAAAGAACTATATATGCATATTCTTTAAAAATTTTTTTTAAAAACATTTTTATTTATTTTTGAGAGACAGAGCACGAGCAGGGGAGGGGCAGACAGAGAGGGAGACACAGAATCCAAAGCAGGCTCCAGGCTCTGAGCTATCAGCACAGGACCTGACGCGGGGCTTGAACTCACACACTGTGAGATCATGACCTGAGCTGAAGTCTGACGCTTAACTGACTGAGCTACCCAGGCATATTTTGTATGCATATTCTAAACTTATATCCATTAACGTAACAAGTCAATGAGTAAACAGAAACAAGTAATATAAAACAATTAAATTTTCTCATGAACATGTTTTTTTAGCTTTACTGAACAGATTTTAATGGGGATGTTTGTTTTTATATGCTCCAGATTAAAGGATGCAAATATATTTATTATCCACTTACAGACTCTCACCTCTGAGTCTATGACAATTCCTTACGTTTTGGTCTTTCAAATGTGTGTATAAACTGACTGCATACAGTTTCTACACAAGCATGCCTATTTACTCAAGCTTTGTTGGATATACCTTGACATCTGCTTCCATGCTATATCCAGAAGAGTGGTGTATGCACCGATTAGTATAGCATCAAAGTAGCATGGGATAAGATAACGTGGGATCTGCTTCAGGTAGAAGAACATAGCCTGCAACCATTTACCAACCTGTCATAAAAATAATTTTAGAAGTTAACTCGGTGTGTTTACAGGCTGGATGCATTTTAAGAGGTAAATCCAAACATGCATCTATTATCTAATAATCCACTAGATTTCCATTTATTAGAATCAGAAGATGATGAAGAAGGGAGGGAAATATTTCAGAAAACAATGTTAATTTTATAGATACCATAGTAATATAATTTTTATTTGTGTCCTTGTTTTTTTCAGCTAGAACATAGCTTTACTTACTTCAGCAATAGTTCCTGACCGTGAAATAAGCCGGTTACTGACATAGTCAATCATCCAATCTCCAGATCTCAAATTATCACAGAAGGGATGCCCCAAGTCATTCTTTGGTCTTATTTCTGCCAAGACGGACATTAATCCTGAAAATTCATAGAAATATCATGCTGTTATTAGCAGAGGCAACTTGTTCCCATAGCCTGGACTACTGCTGTCTCTAATGATTTAGGGTGAACACATATAGACGTAGACACAAGGGCTGCAAAGACCACAGTGGCACTTCCCGTGGTTGGAGATAAGTGTGGCAACAGTGGCTGGGCCCAAGATACAAAGACATACTGAAGGGGACTACTGTCATAGGAGCTATGCCGAGCTTTCCAAGATGCTTAACTTCTGGGACTTGTTTTGTTCTTTTGAATTTGAATATTATAATATTCAAAGGCAACTACATGTCATAGTTTCCTTAGCCTAAGGCACTGGGGAAAAATTGGTAAGTCTGTGTCTTCTCATAGTGGAAAGTGGTAGATTCATTACTATTCAGGCAATCACAGGACTGGTTTCAGAGAGAACAAGAACATCTCTGGTAACAATAATAACAAAGCCGGCTTTGGAGAGAATCTTTGAAATATAACAAGAGCTAGCTGGGACTAAACAAACCATCAAGGTGAATATATGGGCATATCCTTAAGTAATACTCAACAGAAACTCATAGAATTCCTATGCATACATAGCAGAGTCTGTTATTTCAATGACAGAACAATAGCACTTCTTTGGTTGCCCAATAATGCAATAATTTCCACCTTAAAAATATTATATTAATAGCCTCACCACGTTCACTTTGACTACATTTATTTATATATTTAGAATTTAATTTTACTGTGTATGTAGCATGTCTCGAGAAATTGAAAAAATAATTATATAAATTTAAGATGTAGTTCTTTCTCTCAAGGGCCTTTACAACCTTCTTTGGGAAACAAAGCTTAAAACATTAAAAAAAAAACAACTAGAAAACAAGACAGTATAAAATAACATTTCACTTTTGCCCTAGTATTTTAAGGGAAGGCAAACATTGCTCAGCAAATGTGAGCTCCGCTTGTTTAATAATGGTGACATGATGGAGCAGCGTTTTAGAAAAAGAGATCTGATATATCAATGGGATGGGATGATTTGTGGAAGAGGTAACAAGAGGTTGGAAAACAGGTTACTTGGTTTTGCAGACGGGACTTAGTCTTTGAATAGGGTGCTAACTATGAAAATAAAAGAATATGGCATATCACAGAGAACACAGAAAAAAATCCATAGTCATAATCACTGATTAAATAGTGAAGATAAGAGGGATGGATCCAAAAATAGATTCCTGGATTCCAACATGACTGAGTATGTATTATTGTAAGAAGTAGAGAAGAAGAGAAAGGGAATGTGGCTTAGGGGAGAGAAAGTCAGTGAAGTTGGTTGGTTTGATGTAACTGGATATTGCTATTTAAAAATTTTTTTTTAATGTTTATTTATTTTTGAGAGAGAGAGAGAGAGAGCGCGTGCGTGCGTAAGCACGGGGGAGGGGCAAAGAGAGACAGAGACCCAGAATCTGAAGCAGGCTCCAGGCTCTGAGCTGTCAGCACAGAACCTGACATTGGGCTTGAACACACAAGCAGTGAGATTATGACCTGAGCTGAAGTCTGATACTCAACCGACCGAGCCACCCAGGCACCCTGAATGTTGCCATCAAGAGCCTGCTAGAAATATTCAGTGGAATGTTGGAAACACTAAACTGTCAGAGAAAAAAGGGATTGATATAAAGAAAAAAATAAATCAGGACAGAGTTAGTAACGAACTAGACTTAACTCTAAGAAAGGAAAGAAAAGAAGTTCATGGAGGGGCGCCTGGGTGACTCAGTCGGTTAAGCGTCCAATTTCGGCTCAGGTCGTGATCTCGCAGTTCATGAGTTCAAGCCCCACATCTGGCTCTGTGCTGACAGCTCAGAGCCTGATGCCTGCTTCAGATTCTGTCTCCCTCACTCTCTGCCCCTCCCCTGCTCATGCTCTCTCTAAAATAAAAAATTAACATTAAAAAAAAAAAAAAAGTTCATGGAAGTCTTTTCTGTCAAGTAGCAGGTGTTCAACAGCTCGGAGTGAAAATGGAATGAATAGCTGTTTATGACTGGTAACATATACATTTCTTTATTTCTCACAGCACAAAACATTATGTGTTGAAAGTGAGACTGTTTTAGAAAAAAGTGTCATAAGTACAAAAATCTGAAATTTACTGACAGTTCTTATGTGCTTAGTTTTGTAGAAAGTATAAAAGCTAAAAAACAAGAATGCAAAAAAGGCAAACATTCTTTTTTCTCAAGGTACAATCTACTTAGTGGAATTAAAAAAAATTTTTTTTAACGTTTATTTATTTTTGAGACAAAGAGAGAGACAGAGCATGAACGGGGGAGGGGCAGAGACAGAGAGACAGAGTCAGAAGCAGGCTCCAGGCTCTGAGCCATCAGCCCAGAGCCCAACGCGGGGCTCGAACTCACAGACTGCGAGATCGTGACCTGAGCTGAAGTCAGACGCTTAACTGACTGAGCCACCCAGGCGCCCCTTAGTGGAATTTTAAAGCTAATAACCACCAAGTACTAACTATGAACCCAGCATTGTCTAAGTGCTTTACGTGTATTATCTCATTTAATCCTTGTGGTAGGCACTAGTACTGTTTCCATTTTATAGATGAGAAAATTGAACCATGGAGAGCTTACTCTAAGGTTATACAGCTAGTTAGTATAGAACCAGCAAGTCTGGTTCTAAATCCTTTTTTCCCCCAAATTTATTTATTTATTTTCAGAGAGAGCAAGTGGGGGGAGGGGCAGAGAAAGAGGGAGTGAGAGAGAATCCCACGCAGGCTCTATGCTGCCAGCACAGAGCCCAACACAGGGTCCAACTCTGGAAACTGTGAGATCATGACCTGAGCAGAAACCAAGAGTTGGACGCTTAACTAACTGAGCCACTCAGGCATCCCTAGAGCCCATTCTTAACCACAACAATAAAGATTCACAAAACACGTTGTGCTAATTACTAAAATACTCAATATATTCCAAGGGCCAAGTAAGAGGAATAATAAATTAATACAATGGGTATCTAGGGGACAAAGAAATAACTGTGAAAATTAATAGTTAAGGAATGCTTTGTGGAAAATGTAAGAATTGAATTCATCTTTATTATTTATTATTTAAAAAAAATTTTTTTAACGTTTATTTATTTTTGAGACAGAGAGAGACAGAGCATGAACGGGGGAGGGTCAGAGAGAGGAAGACACAGAATCTGAAACAGGCTCCAGGCTCTGAGCTGTCAGCACAGAGCCCGATGCGGGGCTTGAACTCACGGACCTTGAGATCATGACCTGAGCCGAAGTCGGCCGCTTAACCAACTGAGCCACCCAGGCGCCCCTGAATTCATCTTTAAAGATGGGTTAGATGGACAAAGAAAATAAGCAGTTGCAAAGGAGGCATGATACATGGGATCCTATATGAACCAGGAACACGTGTGATAAACCAAATTTTGCGGACAAACATCCAAGAAAATATTTCCAACCAGATGGGTTAAACTGATAATTAAATATTTAGCTCCTATGTTCTGTCTTACAACTACTTAATATTTTATTATAAGTTCTCTTTGTAGGATAAGACAAATATGCAATGAAACAAAACTTCCAATTAGATGAAAAAGAAAGATGAATGTATAATAGTTACAACCTAGTCCCATTTGGGGACCAAATAAATCTTCTCATTTAGTCTTCAAGAAAGCCCTATGAATTAGACAATATTTTTCACATTTTATAGAGGCAGAAATTGGAGCAGAGAAAAGGGAAGTTACTTGCTGGAGATCTAGCTGGCAGAGCCACAATTTGAACCTAAGCAGTCAAATTCTGAGCCTGGACTCCTATTTCCATAAAGAAGACACCATATGACCCTAAAAAAACCCTTCAAAGATTTAACTATCCTTGCATTTGCTTACCTTGAAGACCTGCATATTTAAGAGATGACCAGTTTGGGATGTCGTAACAGCCTCCACCATCTTCTTGTTCTTCTGCTTCACATCGGTAAAGTACCTGATTCAGCTCAGCCAAAGTTAATTTAGAAGCAATACTAAGAAGTGGAAAATAAAGAGAACTGGTTAAATACAGTAAAATTTCACTTGCTGTCAATAAAACTAAAGAGGAAAATCTGAATCATAACCATAATGATTCAATATATGTTTTAGGAATTTGGCATTATGATATACATTATAAACAATATTCATTATGAATAGTAGTTTAAAGATAAAACATGCTAAAAATTCAGTTAGAAGTAACACTTCTTCCAAGCAAAAAAAAAAAAAAAAAAAATGAAGTGTCAAATTTTACTACTTAGAGTATGCTAGAAAATTTTTTGGTTGCTACCACTTTTTTCTCACAAATTTACTTTTTTAATCTTTCTAGTTGAGCTTAGTTGTTTCTTTATATTCTATGTGGGACATCAATAGCTTTTTATGCTAATTATCTTGAAATCAAAATACTTCTGAAAGACTAGTAAAGGGATAATCAAAAGTCACAGTTAACCACCTTAGAAATCAGGTAGCATTTCTCTCCTTTTCCTTTTCTCCTTTCCGCAGGTTGCATTACCCTTTAGTTGGGTTATTCAGGAAACCAGGATTTTCTTAGATAAAGATGCTTCTTGATAGTAGTTGGAAGGAAGTGTCTATCATGGCCTTGGTTTCCCTTTGTCCAGGTAGCAGTGAGACTGTATTACTGACTACACCTGAATACAACCAAAAACTCTACTTTCTTGCAATTCTAGCTGTTTAGTCATTTCATTTTACCTAACTGAACACAAATCCTCCTGAGTTGTATGTGAACACATAATCCTCTTGAATGTACTTCCTTCCTTCTCTTTTAGTTCTGCCTCAGCTTAGAAAATTATTGTTGGCTGTGCTTTATTCCCTGTCTCTGCCTAGACTCTGTCCCCACAGCTGGGACTGACTTCTCCTTCATCTGCAGTCTGTGAATCAAGTTTGACCAAATCAGTCAGCAGTCTCAGTATCAACTCCATTCTAGGGCAATATTTTTCAACACGTAGCCAGTGAACTTGCATATGAATTCCCATGAGCTTATTAAAATGCATATTTCTTGGCCTTGCCCCAAAATAACCTGAGTAGGTCTGAGGATGAATATTCATTTTATAAGTACTGTGCAGAAACACCAAATTGCTTCATCACAGATTTTTTTTTAGAATGCAACTACTTTTCTAACAATAGTTTGAATGGAGCTAATATCCTTAATGATAAAAGCTCTTATAAAAACAAAAAGTTGAACACAACAGAAAAATGGACTGGTACATAAAATGATATTTCATGGACAGCCAGTGAACAACAACAAAAATTTAGCTTGGGGGTGCCTGGCTGGCTCAGTTGGAGGAGCATGCAACTCCTGATCTCAGGGTCATGAGTTCGGGACCCACACTGGGTGTAGAGATTGCTAAAAAGACAAACTTAAAAAAAAATTTAGCTTAACTAATATTTAAAACAAATTAAGATGTGACTTTAAAGTAGTTTATGTTTATAAATTTGATTAGTAATAGCTAACACTCATCGATCACTTACCATCATCTTATAATCACTGTTCTAAGTGTTTTACATAAATAATCATAACTGTTTAAAAGAGGCACTATATTGATATCTATTAGGTTGCTTGCCCAAGGTCTTACTTCTTACAGCTATGAGAGTCTGAAATCAATTCAGGTTGGTTCCATATTCTAGGCTCTTAACATTACATTGTAACGATATATACTCAGAATTGGTAACAATGTCAAGTAATGGACACCCTTACATAGAGCTGAAAGAATAAAATCTTTCTGGAGGAGGTTTGGCAGTTTTAAAAGCCTCAGATATGTGGAGATAGCCTTATGAAGAAATTCCGTTTCTGGAAATTTATCCTAGTATTTATGACAGCAAACATATATGGAGCATTTATTATGTGCTATCAAGTGTTAAGTGCTTTCTATGCAGTATCCTATTTAACCCTTACTAAATTTAAGAGGTAGGTGCTATTATCAGCCCAGTTCTTCAGGTGGAAAAACTGAGATGAAGAAAATCTTAATATGTTGTCTAAGATTATTTTAGGAATAGTGAAGCTGGAGTGAAAGCCAACTCTAAATTTCAAAACCCAAATTTTTTGGTATTATGTGGTACCACCTAGTAAGGGAATAGATAGTAAGGGAATGACTAAGAATTCAGGCAAAGATGAATGTAAAAAAAACATACATAACAGGGAATTATTGGATGTAGTTTAGATGTCCAAAAACTGGAGGCTGAGTAAATAAATTTGGGGATAGCCAAATAATAGAATAATATGCTCCCCCTTTTTGTGTGTTTCAAATTTTTATTTAAATTCTAGCCAGTAAGGGGCGCCTGGGTTGCTCAGTCTGTTGAGCATCTGACTTTGGCTCAGGTCACACTCCGTGAGTTTGAGCCCTGCATCGGGCTCTGTGCTGACAGCTGGGAGCCTGGAGCCTGCCTCAGATTCTGTGTCTCCCTCTCTCTGAACCTCCTCTGTTTCAGCTCTTGTCTTTCTCTGTCTCAAAAATAAATAAACACTAAAGAAAAATTAAAAAAAAAATTCTAGCCAGTTAGCAACATAGTGTATGTTAACTCTAGCAGGAGTAGAATTTAGTGATTCATCACTTACATATAATACCCAGTGCTCATCACAACAAATGCCCTCCTTAATACCCATCACCCATTTAGCCCACCCCTCCCCCGCCCACCTCCCCAATACAGTCTCATTTAAAAAATGATGTTGTAAGGAATATGATGAATGTAACTTAGCCTCAAATAGTTCAGAAAAATTGTGTACATGTGCATGTGTGTGTGTGTGTATAGAGATGTATGTATCTGTTTGCATGTATCTACCTATTGCTACATATAGAGAGTGCGTGACTGTGAGAGAGTGCACAAGCAAGCACACACACAAATGATAAAGCAATAGGACAAAATGTTAATAACAGATGATGCTGATACTACTGGCCTTTGGACCACCGTGTGAATAGCAAGGATATAGAGGACTCTTATAAAAAACTGCTTCAATCAGACTTGTGGTAACTGATCAGTTATTAAAATGGCAAATCTCCATAAACTACTTACAAAGCGAAAGGAATTTTTAATATAGGATCTGAGTTGTCAACAGCAAGGCTTCCAGATTTAAAGTGAGGACTGAACTGTGTCAGATGATTTCGAAGAATTCCAACAGCGACTTGTGCATGTGGATCAAGACTAACTCTGAAAATGTTAATTAAAAAATAGTTACTTTTTAGGAATGACTTATTCCAAATTAACTCAATATATAATCAATTTTACAAACAAAGGAGCGCCTGGGTGGCTCAGTTGGTTAAGGTCTGACTTCGGCTCAGGTCATGATCTCTTGGTTGACGAGTTTGAGCCCCATGTTGGGCTCTGTGCTGACAGCTCTGAGCCTGGAGCCTACTTTGGATTTTGTGTCTCCCTTTCTCTCTGCCCCTCCCCTGCTTGCACTCTGTCTCTCTCTCTCTAAAAAATAGATAGACATTAAAAAAAAAAAAAACCCAAAAACAAACAAAGTCAACAGTTTGAATTCCAACATACCTGAATATAATAACACTTCCCGGAGACAAGTTTTCAAATTCTATTTCTTGAATATATTCATTGGGTCCTTTTGTGGCAACTCCAGCTTGTTTAACAATTTTACTTTCACTAAGCTTGAAAAAAATTGTATAAGACCATTTAACAAATAATTCTAATGTCCTTAAAATGTTAAATACAGCAGTGAGATTAGACTCCCAAATACCTGAATATGTTCTCTAATTTCTACTGTGATATTTGGCATTCCATTGATGAAATTCTCATCCTTCCGATAAGGTTTTGCATTTCTCTCAATAGTTCTGGCTTCAAGAACTACTTCTTCAATTTTGCCTAGGAATACATGAAATGTTAATGAAATTTCATATTAAACCACCTGAAATTAGGAATTGCTAAAGGGTTTTAAAATAACTTAAAGTTGAATATGAAATATCAGTCTGAGGGTAGATGATTGTACCCAAGATGCATTTTTCACACAATGTTTTTGTTTTTAAAACATAAATTAACAAATATTTATTTGAAAAGAGATCTTATTCAAGTAATAATGGCTTAGCTCTCAGGAACAATATATAACCTTCCTAATTTTAAGCAGAGAGAAAATAAATCACTTAGAAGACTTGTATTAAGAATTGGAGGGGCGCCTGGGTGGCACAGTCGGTTAAGCGTCCGACTTCAGCCAGGTCACGATCTTGTGGTCCGTGAGTTCGAGCCCCGCATCAGGCTCTGGGCTGATGGCTCAGAGCCTGGAGCCTGTTTCCGATTCTGTGTCTCCCTCTCTCTCTGCCCCTCCCCCGTTCATGCTCTGTCTCTCTCTGTCCCAAAAATAAATAAAACGTTGAAAAAAAAATTAAAAAAAAAAAAAAAGAATTGGAAAATTTCAGAAATACAAAAAGTAGGGAAAAATTTAAAAAACCCAGGTCCTACTTCCTAGCTTAAGAAAACATTACAAATGTGTACCTTTCCTTCTCCTTCAGAGGTAACTACTATCTACAGTTTGGCGTTCACTGATCCTGTGCACTTTTTCTATATATGTCTGTTTCCCGACACAACAGGTTATTTTCCTATTTCCAAGCTTTATTAAAATGAAATCAGATTATATACATAGTTCTGCAACTCGCTTTCTATTAAACAACACTGTATATTTTAGATTTGTTCACATTGCTACATTAGCTGCAGCTCATTTATTTCAAATGCCAAATAGCATTCCACTGTATGAATATACCAAATATATTCTCATCCCTGTCTTCTAACCGAATATCTGAGAGTTGTTCAGAGATATACCTAGGACAGAAGTGCTGAGTCAAAGGATACATAAAACTTGAATTTTATTATTTAAATAATTTAAGCTTTAAGCCATTAATCTGACAATAGGTAACAGCACCCTTTGGATCCAGAAATTCTACTTCTCGAAATACATACTAAGAGCTTGTTTAAAAATTTTTTTAAATGTTTTATTTATTTTTGAGACAGAGAGAGATAGAGCATGAACGGGGGAGGGTCAGAGAGAGAGGGAGACACAGAATCTGAAGCAGGCTCCAGGCTCTGAGCTGTCAGCACAGAGCCCGACGCGGGGCTCGAACCCATGGACCATGAGATCATGACCTGAGCCGAAGTCGGATGCTTAACCGACTGAGCCACCCAGGCGCCCCACTAAGAGCTTGTTTAAAAGAAAAAATTATTCTGAAAAAAATTATTCCTAAAGTATATTCAAAACTTAAATAAGACACCGCTAAACATATAAAGAATATTAAAAATAGATACTAACATAATAAAATATGAAATATTGAACATCATGAAAATCACAATTTTGTGGACCAAATGGGGATATTTTAGTAATGATTGGTGACCAAAACAAAATCTGAGGTAATACTGTCCACACTGATTCCAGCCATGTAAAACTATATATGTACATTAGCAACAATTAGACAAGATTACTGAATATACACTTGTAAACAGTTAAAAATAACTAATGAACATTTAACCCTAAAACTGTTCAAGTTGATAATTTTTAAAAATTGGAGTTATGCATATTTAACAACTAGCAACCGACATAGAATATGATTATTTTTATAGGAATCTTCATCTATTCTTATAATTGACAGACTGGGATAGCTGTTAATGCTCACAGGAGAATGTTTTGCTAGAATATATGATATATAACAGTAAGTGAGGAGATAAAATACACACATCTAGAAAAAAATCTAGCAATAATAAGGATATATCTCAGGGATGCATTTTATAATTATCAAAGAAGAGATATGGGAAGACTATAATTGCTGTATGTTCACAAAAGAGAAAAATTACTGAGTACTTAGAAAAGGTTTTTCAAGGGAGGTGGAACGTTAGTTCTTGAAAGATGTGAAAAATACACATATATAGATGTTAGTAAGACTACTTGAGGACCAATGAAAATATCTATCTGGTTAAAATAGTGGAGTAACAGAGGGTTAGTAAGGCAGTTGAGGATGGGTTATGAAGAGCCTTAAATATTAAACTATTTTTTACTTTGGTTTATATAGGTGTGTAGGTTATTACATGCACACACACAAATACACACACGCAAATATACATACAGACACATGAATGTACACATATATTTCTTGGGTATGAAAGAAATACATGTAGGTTTTATAAAAATTAGGAAATATGGGAATGTATTAAGATAAAAATAAGGCTATTTCACAACTCAAAAAATGTTAATATTTGAGAATATTTCTGACCAGGTTTTGTTCCATGTTGTAAAAATGTAAGTTCCCCCAAATTAATTCCTTTCTTCCATTCTTTTTTAAAAGTAAGCTCTATACCCAACATGGGGCTTTAACTCACGACCCTGAGCCAGCCAGGGGCCCCAACTTACCCAAAATTTCAAATTCTTTTTCTCAACTACAGCTATACTTGCAATGTGTTATAATATATGCTATATAATTACAATTTAATATAACAAAGTAATATAATCATAATATACCAGGGATATATTGCATTACCAGGGATGCACATTTGAGGTACTTCCTTGCTGTAAAATGAGGTCTTAGGATTCCTGAAAGCAGTTCTAGACACAGACACAACAGACTGATGAATACTGGGCGAATGTCTTGTTACTGCCACTATGTCTTCATCAACCTGATCCACATACACCTGAGAAACAGAAAGAAAACACATTAGCACTCAAACTGGAAAGACTTACTCTGAAATTAAACCTTAAGAAACTTAACAAAAATTTAGTTTCTTGCCTGAATGAAACCCTTGGCCCCAAGCTCTTGATGAAGTTTATTGATAGCACATCTGGCTGCAATAATTCCACTTTGGAAATTAACTTCACCTGTATTTGATGGCGATGCTCCAGGATTCCACTTAGTATAAAACCGTTCTTCAGAAACCACTGAAATCTGAACAAAGTTAAAACTTAGCCATGTATACATTTAAAAAATTTTTTTTTCAACATTTATTTATTTTTGGGACAGAGAGAGACAGAACATGAACGGGGGAGGGGCAGAGAGAGAGGGAGACACAGAATTGGAAGCAGGCTCCAGGCTCTGAGCCATCAGCCCAGAGCCCGACGCGGGGCTCGAACTCACGGAGCGCGAGATCGTGACCTGGCTGAAGTCGGACGCTCAACCGACTGCGCCACCCAGGCGCCCCATATACATTTTAATTATAATGAGAACTTCTGGTAAAAGTGCTCAAGGTTGTTGGCCATTGTGGATTTAAAAAAAAAAACAACACACAAACACACCTGATGAGGCACTAATTCATCATAGCCTTTAGTACTTCCACTAGCACAACATGCCATAGAAACAATCGTGGTACTCGGGAGAGCATCATATTCTGACCTATGCTAGAGAACAATAAACAAACAAACAAAAAAACAACCAAGTTTATTTTCTTTTAAATGCAAAGTGAAGTAAAGGATACATAGTTACACACTATAAGACATTCATATGCTTTAAAACAAATAAAACATTAAAAAACTATGTACCACAATCATTTATAAATCTAAGACATGATTCTGAAGTATGTAGATATTATTGCCACTAAGTATCAGAGAACTAAATATCAAAACATTTATTTATTGATTTTTCCTTTTTCAAGTTTTTATTTAAATTCCAGTTAGTTAACATCCAGTGTGTAACATTAGTTTCAGGTGTAGAATTGAGTGATTCATCACTTACATACAACACCCAGTGCTCATCACAAGTGCCCTCCATAATACCCATCACCCATTTCATTTAGCCCATGCCCCCACCTACCTCCTCTCCAGCAACCCTCAGTTTGTTCTCTATACTTGAGTCTCTTTTATGGTTAGTGTCTCTCTCTCTTTTTTTTCTCCTATGTTGATCCATTACATTTCTTAAACTCTACATGAATTTAGCAAAATAAGTAAACACAAGAAAGAGATTAGATGCTTACCACAATAGGACACTCATTATCATGGGTAATATCCATAAACAGGGCGTGTGCAATAGCCGGCATTAAAGGCCTCAGACAAGGCTGAACAAAGGATCCAACAGGTTCTCCTCCATATCTATAAACTAACCTCCCTTCTTCATGGCTATTATATGCACTCATTGCCTCTGCAAAGCATTACAAAATATTTTAACAATCTTCATTATTATTGTCCAGAAGAGGTTAGGTTTCTTATCATAACTAACTTTCCAAACAAAGGCCACATAAATATTATAAAAAATAAAACTACTTTAAACATTTAAACAAATGTCTATTACTTTAAGTGACAAAAAAGTCTTCTCTATAACTTAGCCGAAGAAAAGGCTTATGTAGGTAAAAGGGAACACATGTTGTTTATTAGGATGTTGGTTATATAAAATCTATGGGAAAAAACCTAAGATTATATCATCTATCCAAGTAAGAGATGAAAAACAGATTTGTAGATTTTCAAAAACAAAAAAATACTTTTGCTCACGAGTCATCAATTCATCCTACCGGTCTTTCAATTTAAAAATGAGATATTTTGGGGGCGCCTGGGTGGCTCAGTTGGTTAAGCCTCTGACTTGGGTTCAACTCATGATCTCACGGGTCACCAGTTTGAGCTCTGCGTTAGGCTCTGTGCTGACAGCTCTGAGCCTGGAGCCTGCTTCAGATTCTGTGTCTCCCTCTCTCTCTGCCCCTCCCCTGCTTGCACTCTGTCTCCCTCTCTCAAGATAAATAAATAAACATTGAAAAAAATTTTTAATGAGATATTTTTCCCCAAAGTGGAAATTTTTCCTAATAAAAACAGACTGAGTTACAGAAAATTTTGTATAGAGTATTTAAAAGAACACTAACTATGTTGGAAGTTACTAAACATTGTATGTAAAGCTATTAAATGCCTTGAATCTACTTGAACAAAAACTAAAGTTTCAGATGGGAAATACACATCAACAAGCCTACCTCTTATTAGGGAACTAATGCCCAGTCTAGTAACAAAGACATTGTCCAGGTCTTCGCTTCCCGTGAACAGTTCAGCCACTACATACAAATTGGGTTGCAATTTCCTAGCAGCATCCAACATGTACTGCAAAAAGCACAGTCACACATGTAACACAAAGAGAAAAGCGAGTAGTGGGGAAGGAAAGGAGGCAGAACTAGGCATGGATTTGACATAGGAAAATATCATGGAGCAAGACAAAATGGAAATCCAAGAGGAATTTCCAAATAAATTTAATTGTACACATGTAAGAAAACATAAAACGGACCAATACACAGAGGAAACAAGAGAATTTATAAATAGAAAACAGTTAAAAAGGAAGATTAGATTTTGCAAAGATATAGAAACACAAGGGGGGCAAAAAAAGGAAGAAGAAAAATGTTAGTGTCACATTAAAAAACGTAAACCATACTGCTGTGATTCTGCTAGGCTTTCCCCCTGTTTTATGTGCATTTGTTTTTAATACTCTAACCAGACTATTAATTTTCAGGCAGCTGACTAAGCCATTATTAGGAAATTCCCTGATGGTGAATCATTTAGCTATTGCAAAGATTAGGTCTGACGAACCATACTAAAGCTAGCTTTTCCTACAGATGGTAGTAAAATCTTAGTCAGAAATTAAATCAATTTCAATTTTTTTTCATGTAACATTTGTAAAAAGGTTAACAAAATTGAAATTCTATCAGCTAACAAGTAAAATCCTAGAGGATTTTGTAACTCAAAATTAAGGAAACTGAGTTTTAATTTTCTGTTTTGTTGTAATAACAACCTTAGAAATATGTATATATGGCTGTTGCTAAAAGTACAATAAGAAAAAGACCTCTGCAAGTTTTTGGAGCTAAAAAATGTGCTACCATCTTAACTAATGTTCACTAAAGTCTTCCAAATCAAGTCAATTTTTCATCATAGGACTTGAAACATATTCATTATAATATGGCTTTAGAATAATAGGTATTTTCCAGATATGCACACATTCCGAAAGAATAGTAAGTTGTCACTGGGAAGCTATCAAAGGTCTTATAAACGGGATGAAAATTTTAAGTGTTTTCAAAGCTGTATTAGGTAGAAGATAATGCTATAAATTTTGGCACTGTTTCAGTTTCTGTAAAAAAGCCCGAAGAAGGATAAACAACCTTTATGTTTACACTTACACTTTTAAAAATAATTAATTACAAATTGATTGAAAGAGGCTAAAACTAGCTTCAATATGCTGTAATGTTAGTGCTTAAATAATAGCATAATATGTAACAGGTGACTTCACAGTGTCTATTAACATATTAAAAGCAAACTAAGAATAACAAGGATAAGACAAATTGAAATTTATATACCACTAAAATATTATTTAAAGTTAATAATAAAATAGTAATACTATGTTAACAATATGCATGACAGTATGGTTATGTATATATTATCAGAGACAATATGATCTACTTCCCTAAATTAAAATAAAAATATTAACCTATCAAACATTTTATAGCCCAGTATTCCATAGCAACTGAATCAAAAGATTCTGTTACAATTGTGAAATTATGCCAAAGTGCTAAATACTCCCACCAACTCAATGCCAGTGTCTAACTAGCAAAAGGAAACACGTATTTGCATGTTTTATTTAAGGAAAACGAGGAAAGAACACTACATTTCTTTTTTTTAATGCAGATGAATTGTTTTTCTGTACCTCAGCTACGTGAAGGGGTGTTGAGTGGCAGTTATCAAGACGCACTCCCTGGAAATAAGTCGCAGTTATTTCAGTGTATTTTTTCATGTGTGCCCAGAGAAAAGGACAGTCGTCTGGTTTATTCCCATAGCGTAATTTGACGCTGTCTCCCCAGCAAATAAGTTCTCTCCTTAGATAAACATCTGAACCTGTTAAGAAAGGAGCTTGCTTTCAGTGGGTCAGGAAATAGAATAAAAACAATTACTTCAAGGAAATACTGCTGTTTTTAAATCACACCGACTATTTCTACCACAAACCATATATTGGTTAAAATTATGTCTAAAATGGTATTGGCGTCTAAATTTATAAAGTTTTACAAAGTTAACATTATTTTATATCTTACATCTATTTCACCAAAATTCTGTTACAGTCTCTTCTAAAAATGTGTGCTTAATGTCAAAAATTCAAGTTGCTTCTGAAAGTTAAACTGTAGCAGTAGTATCACAGGCCCTTTGAAGATAGAGTTTTACCAAAAACATTTAAACCTGCCTTTCCACCTTGTTACTCATTGTTGCCAATGTTACATTACATCCACAGCCTAGGGCAGAAGGCCTTTTCTCACTTAGAATAACTAGAAAGGAGAATGCAGAGATACTTAAACCCAAAGTACATTCTTTTTTAAAAAATGATATTTTTGAATTAAATTTAATGTCATTAAAACAGACTTCTGAAATGTTAAAAAGAACAAATATATTGATGGGTCCCCAGAAAATTCTTCCTGGCAAAGAAACAGCTGTAGAAAAATAAAATGCTAGGAGAGAGAGGGAACCTGAAAGCTGAATTTAGTGTAACTGCTATTCAAATACCTTAATACCTCTTTGGCTACTGAATGAAATATCTCTTAAGGTAATATAATTGTAATAGCAATAGTGTCAAATGTATTTTAAAAATGCAATAGGTTAAATTTTTGACCAAATAAAACCTTGTGCAGAACCATCATATAAAATAGGTAAAAGCCATTCTAGTTGAGCATATGAGGAGAAGGAGGGAAAGAAGGGGGAAAGGAAAAGATGAATCTCATCTTTTTCGTCAATCCCTTCTCTTCTCTCAAACTGCATGCACTTCTGGCACCTCTGTGATGAAATACTTTAAGAACCATTAGCCTAGTGGGGAAAAAAAGTCAACGAAATAGTTTATATTTTGAGCTTGCCATAAAGTTTTCTTTCCCTATCCACAGAGAAGTTAACAAAAATGATATACCTGGTTCAGCAAAGTTTCGAAGGGGATCATCTCCCATTACCCACCCATTATGTGCCATCAGAAAACAAGCTTTATTTGGGTGATGAATCATAGATTCTTCTGTGGAGAGGGTCATTTCTTCGAATGGGAAAGTAAAATATCTATGGAGATACAATTAAGTATTAAATCCACAGGGAGAAACTCTTTGGAAACAATTTAAATTAGTATTATCAAAATATAGTACTTCCTCCTTAGCAAATAAAATAAGATTAGTTCGACACTATAGAAAATAAACTTCATTACAGGTCAAAACCTTCAGAAGATTTCCTTTTTTTTTATTAAAAATTTTTCAAAAATGTTTACTTATTTTTGAGAGAGAGATAGAAAGTGAGTGGGGGAGGGGCACAGAGAGAGAGAGAGAGAGAAGGAGACACAGAATCTGAAACAGGCTCTGGGCTCTGAGCTGTCAGCACAGAGCCTGACACGGGGCTTGAATTTGGGAACAGTGAGATCATGACCTAGGCTAAAGTAGAATACTTAAGCAACAGAGCCACCCAGGTACCCCCAGAAGATTTTCTGAGTAAATCTACTAGCTTTGAGAAATGCACAGTTAGCATTATAGCATTCTCTGGTTAACATCTTAAATAATAACTTAAAAAATCTCATAAAATTACTAAGAAAATCACTGAGGTATTGATGTTACTTTGTAAAAGCTGTTACTACACTTCAGTTGCCTAATCTGTGCTGCACATGACCTACAAGATAAGGAGCTAAATGCTGGTTCAATTTGATTGACATTATAGTAAGTATAGTAAGTACACAGTCCTCCAGAAACATTATTGTAAATGATTATAAATTGGTTCATAGTGATGATAGTTTCTCTAAACACTGGACTAACAAAATTAATTAATATTAAGCCTAGCTACCAAATCAAAACTTCCATTTCAATTAAAAAATGTACTGGAGTTACACATTAAAGGAAGCATTCAGATTAAACTGAGAAGTAAAATACAATTTTCAATTTTTAACCTTTAATGAGAAGAAAACAAAAATGGAATACCTGGTAACTAAAGGATGTTTTCTAGTGACAGGTCCTAGTTTAGGACCATGGCCAGCCAGTCGTTCATAAAACACATTTCCCAAGAGGCAATTAACTGCCTAGAACACATTAAATGAAGTTATGTCAGTAAAACCAACAACAACACACATTATTAAGACTCAAAGAAAATCAGTAGTTCAAAAGTAGGTGAAACCTGTTCCTGATGATAGTTCACAAGTTGGTGCTTCTCTGAATTTAATTCCTCAATTCTCTTGCAGAACCAGTTACAGCATTCATTAATTGCGGCTGGCCCATTGCTAGAGCAGAGACAGCAATACACACTTAATATTGAATGGTTTTAAAATTCTACATTTAAACATTTTCTCACAAGGGTGGATGAATATATTTAAATATATTCATCAGGATCTTAATTAGAGCTGAAGAAGTTTTCCAATTGTAAAAAATTTTATGTACACATATAGGAACACGGACCAGCATACAGAAAATAGAGGAAAGCATCATGCATTTGAAGGAGTAGAATTATGGCAAATTCATTTATTTAATTTTCTATTCAGGATTCTAAGAAATAGCATAATAGTAATACTAGCCGTGAAGGTTTGTAACTAATATCATCCTTTATTTTGTAGGAAAAATACATAACATACTCATGTGGTATGAAAGTTGCTAGTGCAATGTTCATATCTACAGTACAGCCAAGCCTTCTGTATTCAGGATCTTGAATAATCTTAAGGTGTTTCTTTGGATCAGGTTTGGTTGTTATTTTCCTATTTTCTGAAAGCAAGAGCAAGAAAAGATGATATCTTAAATGCAAATATCCACAAGGAGATTGTAATCATTACTGATTCCAAATTTTTAATTTACAATTTTTTCATAGAAAATAAAATGTTTATTTCACAAGCATCCTTCCTACCCCCATCTTCCTGAACACCACCTAACACACACACATTCACACACACACTCACACACACACTCACACACACACACACACACACACATATATATATAT